TGTACTCCAATCTCCTAAATTTTGATGCTATCTTTTGTGGTCCTTTTACAAACATACTGAAGTCTCCCTGAATACAAGTTGCAGACACTTATGCTTTTCTATTCTTTTGGCCAACATGGACAAATTAATTTTCCCACATTCTGAGTCATTAATATAGGTTGTACATAGCTGAAGCCCCAACACTGATCCTTTTGGCTCTCCATCAGTCACAGTCTGTCAACGCAGACTGTTTGCATTTTGTCCATTAACCAATCATCTATTCATGCTAATATATTATCCCCCAAATCCATGAACTCTTTTCTTGCCTGTTAACTTAATGTGTGCACCTTATTGAATGTCTTGAAAAACCTGGATACTGGCTCTATTGGTTCCCCTTTAATAATAAGTTCTGACATTTTCCCGATATTTGGTGTCTGGCTGACTGGCTTTTAATATTTTGTTTTCGTTACATTGACAACTTTTATTCTAATGGGGCTGTTCCCAAATCAGAGAGACTGTGCAAAAACATAGTTGCAGAGATAACGGATACATTAGGACATTGGCCATCAAGCCCCTGCAATTTGTCAGATTTTGGTTCCTGAAGTTTCTCCAAGCTCTTAGTTCCCAGATGATCCTTCATTTCTGCAATGCTATTGTCTTCTCTGTGAAAACAAGCACAAAGTATGTGTTCAGTTCCTTATTATTTTCTCAGCCCCATGATTTCTCCTATTTGTGAAAGTTCTTGAATATCAATAGAATAGATGGAACTTTGATGACTCTTGTGGATAGTTGAAGCTGAATGTTCCCTTTATGCTCTTAAAACTCAGTCTCCAGTAGATTCTAAAGTGCTTATTGGAATATATTTTTATATTCCAGGCAAAATTTTCATTTGTTTCCCTTATCAGTTTATTGCTGGCTATTTGATTCCAAATCCTCTGCCTTGCTATTGCGTTTTATAATTTATAGGCCTGTTCTGTTAATCTAATAGTGTTCACTGTACAGAAGGATAATAGAACTCAGGGGTGGGTGAGACAGGGTGCTATGACATACTTAGGTGAATTAACATCGACAGAGGAGAAATTAGTCATTTTAGCTGGCTTGAAAGTGGATAAATCCCCAGACCAGGATGAGATGTTTCCCTAGCTGCTGTAGGAGGTGATTGCAAGGACTCTGACATTAATTTTCAAATCCTCTCTGGCCACAGAAGGGGTGTCGGAGGACAGCTAATTTAGTACCATTATTGTAGGGGTGAGCTTAACGTCTGTAGTTGAGAGACTTGGAAAAAATTCTGAGCGACAGAATCCCCACTTGGGGAGGTAAGGATTAATCCAGTATAGTCAGCATGGCTTTGCAAGGGGGGAGATCATTTCTAATAAATTTGATCGAATTTTTCAGTGACTGGGTGTATAAATAAGGATAACCTAGTGGCAGGAAGCAGAGGGGATAGTCCAAGGTTGTTGTTGTTACTGGAAGCCCTGTGAACAGTAATGTACGCGATATGATCAATAAGTTTAAAGTGACATGAAAATTGGTGGTTTAGTAAATAGCAAGGAGGAAAGCCTTAGACAACAAGATGATCTAAACGGACTCAACAAAGGCAAATGCAGTTTAATCCTGAAAAGTGAGAGGTGACACATTTTGGGAACAGTTTCAAAAGAACCTTGCTGCGCATGTCCAGAGATCCTTGAAGACAGCAGGATGTGTCGATGAGATGATTACGACATCATCTAGGTTACATACCTTTGCTAGTTAAGGCATTGAATACAAGAGCAAGGAGTTTCTGATGGAGCTGTATAGCTGTAATGTTAGTCTGTGTGCAGTTGTGGTCGCCATACTATAGGAAGAATGTGACTGCACTAGAGAGGGTGCAGAGCAGATGCACCAGGATGTTGGCTGGGTGGGAGTGATTCATTTGGGGAAAAACTAGATAGTCTGGGGTCGCTTTTCTTAGAGCAGAGAAGACTAAGGGGACTTCTGACTGAGGTATACAGAGTTAGATTGGGTAGATGGGTCAGTAACCAGGAGATTTAGAGGGGCTTTGAGGAAAACCCATTTCACCTACAGACAGGGTGGTTAAGAAGGCGTTTAGTATGCTTGCCTTCATTGCTCAGACTTTCGAGTATAGGAGTTGGGCCGTTATGTTGAGGCCTGTTCTGGTCAGCCTATTATTGGAGACGCTGGGATTTTTTTCACTGGAATATAAGAGGTGACCTTATAGAGGTGTATAGATAAGGTGAATGGCATGTTTTTATGGTCAGGAGAAAGATTTTGAAAAGACTCGAGCAGTTTTTTTTTTGTGTCGTTTGTGGGTGGAATGAACTTCCAGAAGAAGTGATGGGTGCAGGCAGGCATGGACTAATTGGACCGAAGGGTCGGTTTCTGTGCTGTTTGACTCTACACCCAGAGGGTTTTGAATACGTAGAACTCACTGCCTAGAAGGGTAGTATAAGCAGGGACTGTCAAGATGTTTCAGAACTAATCAGATGAGTACTTGAAACATTGTTGCATACAAGGCTGCAGGAAAATTGATTAGAATAGATAGAAATTTAATGACTGAAGGGTCTCTTTTTGTGCTGTAAAACTCAGACTCTAATAGATTATCAAGTGCTTTTGGAATATGTTTTGTTGAAAACTTTATTTCTTTAAATATTTCCCGCTTAATTTGTTGCCAAAGTTTTTTTAGCCAATCTTGGTTTTAAGTAAGTTTAAGATTCTTGATTCTGATTGGGAAAATTTGAAAGTGACATATTCCAGTGAATTCTCATATTATTATGTTGCCTCATTACACAATACTGCATCTAAAATAGCTTTCACCCTAGTCTATTTGTTTTTATGATTCTCAAGAAAAGCTTCTACAACCTCATCTTCCAGATCAACCTTTTCAATTTGGGACAATGTTACCGGCTCCACTAATTTCTTGTTAATGCTTTGTCCAACTATGTAACTACAGTATGGACCTGTAAACTAACCCCAGTAGTGTTTTCTGTCTCTTACTAATCATCTGGATCCCTTTTGTCTTCCTAAAATATAGTGTATCCTGGAATATTTGTTTCCGTAATGCTAATTAAATCGAAGCCATTTAATACTCCTTGTGCCACTAGATCATCTGTCTTACTGTAGCTGCTTTGCCCACATAGATAAAGACTATTTAATTTTGATTTTTTTTTCTCTAAGCAGTTATTCCCTGAATGGAACTTGCTTGCTGATGCCAAATAAACTCTGCCTGTGTTTACTCAGAGTGCTACACTGTTCCTTTACCTTGACTTATCTCATTGGATTTTAAAATTTCCCTTCACCTGAATCTCTGTTAGTTTAATGTCTTGTTGACACCCATAGTTATACAGAGCACTTGTTGCAGCCTGGTTTAAGTTAATCTCATCCTGATGGAATAGGTCCCTCTTTAGTGAGTGCCCCATCATTCAAAAATCTCTCTTTCACTAATCTGCTTGACCTTGTGCCAGTTGACACATTGCTCAGATAATAATCCAGCCATGATTACCTTCAGTGATCTGCATTTCAATTTCAGCATTAAATCCTCAAAGCCTCTCTGTAAAGCATCATTCCTGATTCAAACTATGTCATTGATATCCAAATGGACCAGAACAACTGAATGCACCCCTCCAAGTCTGAGGAGATGTCTTTCCCCTATGAGTATTACATTCCTTCTCATACTTTCAAGGACGAAAGTACGCAATATACTTTGTACTTTGGTTATCCAAGTGAACTTACTGATGGAGGCCAGTAGTTTGCAGTTAGGAACAGGGACTCTGGTAAATTGAACTCATTCCTTGGTCAGAGTTTGCTCAGATAAGTTATAGGGACCAACTACAATCCTGCCAGAAAATTGTAATGAGAAGTGCTTTGTTTCATTTACCAGCTAATGCAGATCTATTGCCAGCCACTGTGACTGGATCAAATTTCGCAATGTCTCAGCCATTTCTGAGTTTTGTGATATCATGAAAACAACTCTGCCGCCTTTTGGGTTGTTTTTTGTTTTGTTGCAGAAGACCCGATTCTGATAGTCTCTTATAGACAATGACAACTAAATCAAAAGCCCAATTATAGATTTTGTGATCTGGATTGAGATTTCTTCGTGTAAATCCAGGTATTAGTGTCAGCAGACTATCAAAATTATTCTTTCCTATCTACGGTATATAGCGTTTTTGGCAAAATAAACCAGAACTGTTTAATGGCACCCAATTACTTTCTCCTCTCTGTCTTTGCAGATGGATCTCTGGTGCTGTTCTCCCTAACTTCACACAATGGCTGGGTAACAGCAGTCAAATGGTCACCTACCCATGAGAATCAGTTGATTTCAGGCTCTTTTGACAAATTGGTCAAGCTCTGGGATGTACGAAGGTATTTTGAGAATTAACTGGGTGGTAAGACAGATCCACAGGAGGGAGATTCAAATCTCAAAAGTTGTCATCTCTTTAACCACTTCCAGTAGTAGAACAACATTAGAACTATACATGCCTTGTTATACTGAGGATTATTTTACAGTGGCAGGAAGAAAATTAGTCTCCAGAATGTTAGCCTAGCTACCATGCATTTTTATTCTTTTGTGGTGAAGAAAGTGTTTCATGCCAAGTCAGCTAAGTGTCTATTCTGCATGTGTTCAAATATTGAACTGACTTCATCCTTGGTGCCCAGATGTATATTCCTGACAGTGATCACTGCGCACACGACCTTCCATTTTCTACTCCAGACCTTTGGTATAAAACCACTAAATGATTTTAAAATGCATGTTCTCAAGATACCATTGTGATACGACAGTTTGGAGCTGGAGGAACACAGCAAGCCAGCTGACGTTTCGGGTCAGGACCCTTCTTCCATTTCTGAAGGGTCCAGACCCAAAACATCAGCTTTCCTGCTCCTCTGATGCTGCCTGGCCCTGCTATGTTCCTCCAGCTCCACATGTTATCTCAGACTCCAGCATCGGCAGTTCCTACTATCTCTGAGTGCGTTATAACCCACTGCATCCCTCTGCTAATCTCTTCGGCCCTGAAACTGCTCGACCAGGTACTGCAGCCACATTGCCTTTCTCAGTACCTGCCTATGGAACCGGATCATCCCAAATGGACTGCAATCTACATTCAGGCCATCCCAATTTGGCCCTGACCGTGACGACCGCTATATACAGAACATTCAAATCCTCCAAAAATGTTTTTCTCTGCGGCTTCTCGAGCACACAGCCTCCCTCTCCCAAATCTGCAAAGGACCTTTTCTACTTTTCATTCTTCACAGGATCCACAACCTCAACTTACGATTCTGCTCGGCCCTGTCGGACACTAAAAGAGTCTGGTTCAGTAAACATTAAGAGTAGGTACGTGGATGCTGATCTGTAATCTTTCTTAAAACAGTCACCTAATTTAAATGAAGGAAGATGGCTGTTCAGAGTCGAATTGGTAATGTTCTGAATCCCCACTTTGGCCTACTGTTTGCTTAGTTATTGAGGAATATAAATTACTTCATCTAACTTTTCTGTTTTAGTTGCAAGGCTCCACTTTATGATTTGAATGCCCATGAAGACAGAGTACTCTGTGTAGACTGGACAGAGAATGGGGTAAGCATAAAACCTGAGTACCTAACTTAGTAAATACCTTGCAAATTGTCACAGAAACCTACATTTTCTGTTGTTCTCTTACTGGTTCTATATGCATGTTCATTTGAAAGTCTTAACAATAAGAGGTAAATAATAGGGAAGTTGTTGCATTCTGTCAAGCTGACAGGATGACAGTTTCCAGGGAATAAAAGTTTTAGATGGGTTCAATCTCTTGCTCATTATCAAATGCTGTTGTGCAAAAATCAGCATAGTTCACTTTTCTTTTTCTTTTTGATGAGTCATTTAGTCTAAAAGCTACAGTACTATAACAATTCATTTGTGTGTTTTCTTTGAGCCATTTTAGTACTGTAGTGGAATGGAAACCTGGTTAGAATACTGTAGAAAAAATATGGGCATGAATTTAGGAGGGCTTTGAAATTGCCAGCCGTGCCGAACTTTTACCCTAATCCTCACGTCTATCTAATAGGCACTTAAATGCCCCTAATGAGGCTGACTCCGCTCTCTGAGTAAAGAACCTACCTCTGATGTCTCCCCAATGAAGAATGGTTCATTAGAGCTGATGTCGTAGTCATACAGCATGGAAACGGACCCCTCAGTCCAACTCATCTATGCCAACCAAGTTTCCCACACTAAACTAGTCTCACTTACCTGTGTTTGGCCTATATCCCTCTAAATCTTGCCTATTCACATACCTGGCCAAATGTCTTTTTAATTATACCTGCATCTATCACTTCCTGTGGTAGTTCATTCTACATATGAAACACCTTGAATGTGGAAAAAGTTGCCCCTCGAGCCCCTTTTAAATCTTTCTCCTCTCACCTTAAAAATACATCCCCTTGATTTGAATTCCCCCACCGTAGGAAAAACACCTTTGCTATTCACCTTATCTATACCCCTCACGCTCCAGTGAAAAAGGTCCCAGCTTCTCCTTATAACTCAAACCCTCCAGTCCTGGCAAAATTCTTGTAAATCTTTTCTGAACCCTCTCCAGTTTAATAACATCCTTCCTATAGTAGGGTGACCACTCCAATGTCCTGTACAGCCTCAACATGATGTCTCAACTCCTTAACAGTCCTGTCTACCTGCAAGACAACTTTCAAAGAACTATTACACCTGAACCCCCTAGGTCTCTACCATTAACTGTATAAGTCCTGCCTTTGTTCATTTTACCAAAATACAATACCTCGCATTTATCCAAATTAAACTCCATCTGCCATTCCACAGCCCATTGGCCCAATTGATCAAGATCCCTTTGTAATCTTAGATAACCTTCTTCACCATCTATTTTGGTGTCATCTGCACGCTTATTAACTTCAAATAAGATTCCAGATTAATTGACTATAGGAAGCTTGAGGGAAACTCTTGTGGTGCTGTGATAGTGTTCCTGCCTCTGAGCAAGAAGACCCACCTGCTCTAAAGGTTTGCAGTCTCTGGCCAGGTTGATTAGAAGCAGGAGGCCATTCAAGACATAAGGGAAACTTTTCTTTACCTAGAGGATGGTGTGTATTTGGACGTAAAATCCTCATCATTTAAAAGGAACCTGTAACTGGCAAAGGCTTTCAGTTCTACTGAATCTCCCTCAGATGACTTAAGTGATGAAAATTTCAGTGACTCAAGAGGGTAGAAACTGACGGTGAAGGTTACACAACTAATTTGAGTAGATTATGAAATTTGACATTGAAAGGGTTCGCTCCTAAAATTGCTTATCGGGACACAATCTGGGTAGTTATACAGGAAAGACTGAGTGACCTGTGAAAATTTTGCAAACTTGCATCAAAAATGAGGAGATCCAGTAACTTTTCTTTGTTCTTTTCAGTTGCTGTTAAGTGGTGGAGCAGACAACAAATTATTCTCATTTAGATATTTGGCTCCTACTTCTGGGGATGGCGCTTGAACAAGAATACCAAATGATGAAGGACCGCACCCCATCAGAGGACACCATCACACTCTCTCATCTTGTGTTGTTCTTATAACACCTTGAATAAGATCTGTTTGCTTGCCATGATGGTTGAGTTTTGATCTCATTCTGTCAATGTAATAATGCCTGATGGTTCTTACGTTAAGATAATTGGCACTGGGATTTAAACTTGGAAAGGTGGTCCACTGATGTAGCTGCTGTTACTATTTTCAGGCATTTGTAATAATATTGCACCTACCTTAGTTTTTTTTTTATAAGGTCTTGGAGTTTTGTACTTTATTTGCAGGAAGTTCAACATTTTGTCAGATCGTATCTACAATGTGGTGATATCACCCTTAGCTCCTGCATTACACCGATCACAATTTGAGAATTTAGGAGGTGAGTGCAGACTTACACTACCAGACTGAAAACCTGTGTGGACAATGAGTTGAAAGTGGATTGGATTTTCTAACCTTATCATCTCATAGTAACATGTTTATTTTCCTAGAATTTCTTACTGTTAATTAATCCAACCTGATTTTTTTCTTTTCATATTTCATGCAAAATGATCAATTTGCATAAAATTCTGCTAAGCAAATTCTAAACTGTTCGCCTAGTCTCTGAAAAAACTTTACATAGAATAGACATGAGTCAGAATTTATGCATCATTTCAAGCTTTCCCTTCCTCATCTTTATTTATTTCCATGTTTCAATGTTCTTACCATTTCAAGGACAATTAAGACGCGATAAATGCTGACTGTACTAGTGATATATATTACTGAACAAATAAAGTACATTTCTCAAGTTCCCTATGGTGACTATCTTTCACAAAGATCTATTAGGTCCTTCCTTAGACTGTTCAAAGTACGATCAAAGTTTTCTTTGTAAAAACTTTTATCTACTGTGATGTTAAGGTTATGACAGAACATGGTGTAATGGAGGGAAGAAGAGAGAAACATTGATGAAAGGCCGTTTATTTGTTTCCATTTTTATTAAACTCAATGATCAAGTCCTTAAGTTTGGTTTAAAATGGGGAGAGAGAGGAGGAAGAAAAGGGGCTTTTAAAGTAATACCATTGATGCAGTATGAGGCCCCCAGTGATTGATAGGGAAACAAAATACTGGAGTGCACAGTTTCCTCTGCTTTTGAGATTTTCCAATATTTCAAGTAGTGGAAATGTAATCAAAACAAAGCATGACTACTATCTACACCATTTTAAATGAATATTGAAATTTTCAGCAGGAATCTCAACTGATGAATCAAGTTGAGAGGTAATGATCTGGGTGGCAGAGTGTGAGGTTATAAAGTGAACAGCTTATTACAAACTAGTGAGCATTGTACCAACCATAATTTCAGGGAAAGAGTTATTAGAGAGCAATTGAAAATTCACTAAGGGGAATATTGCAGGAATTTAGAAAACTGGAAGCAAACTCTGACATCTCAGGGAGCCGTATCATTCCTATGCATATTCATAATGTTGGCTGAAACAGACACTGTCTTTAAATTATTGAAGTGTAAAGCACAACAGTTGGGTTTTCTTTTTTAATTAAAGGTCTGGGAATAGTTTACAAAACATTGAATGGTAAGACCTTAGATTATTGTTGCAATCCCAATGGAAATCAGGTTAGTTTTGTCATGGAGGCCTGCAGCATGAAAACAGTAGCTTTGGGCCCAATGAGCCCATGCCATCCAGTTTAAACTAGTCCCATTTGCCTGTGTTTGGTCTACTTCCCATCCATGTACCTGTCTAAATGTTTCTTAAATGACAAAATTGTACTTGCTTCCACCACTTCATCTGGCAGCCTATTGCAGACACTCCCCTCTCACCTTAAACCTATGCTCTGAAGTTTTAGACTCTGCAATCTAACTTATCATGAGAGGCATAGATTTTATATAGCTCTATAAGGTCACCCCTCAGTCTCCTCCACTCCAGGGAAAAAAGTTCCAACCACTCCTTATAACTCAAACCTTCTTGCCCAGGTAGCATCCTAGTAAATCGTTTCTGCACTCTTTCTAGTTTAGTAATATCTTTTCTATAGTAGCGCAACCAGTACTCCAAATGTGGCCTCAGCTGCAACAAAACATCTAGCATGCCAAAAGCCTTCACTGCCCTGTGTGAGGGATTATGAACCTGCACCCCTAGATTGCATTTACCTAAATTAAACTCCATCTGCCATTCCACAGTCCACGGGTACAGTTGATCAAGATCTCACTGCATTCCCAGATAACCTTCTTCACTGTCGACTGTACCACCAATCTTGGTATGATCTGCAAAATTACAAACCATCCCTCCTAAATTCTCATCCAGATCATTTATATGAATGTTGAACAACAGCGGATCTAGCACCAATCCCTGTGGCACACTGCTGGTCAGAGGCCTCCAATCTGAAAAAACAACCCTCTACTACCACTCCCTGTCCTCTACCAAAAAGCCAATTGTTATCGCTGGATACCATGAGAATTAACTTTACTCAACAACCTACCATGTGGTACCTTGTCAAAAGCCTTGCTAAAGTCCATGTAGACAACATCTACTGCACTACCCTCAGCTATTTTCTTGGTCACCCCTTCCAAAAAAAACTCAATCAAATTCGTGAGACAGGATTTCCCATTCAAAATGCAATGCTGACTATCTCAAAGGAGTCCTTGCCTCTTAGAATCTACTTGAACAACTTACCCACTATGGGCATTAGGCTCAGCGGTCTGTAATTCCCAGGCATCTCCCTGCAGCCTTCCTTAAATAATGGCACAACATTAGCTGCTCTCCAATTTTCAGGCACTTCATTCCTGGCTGTCAATGATACAGATATCTCTGCCAGAGGCCCTGCAATTTCCACCCTAACCTGCCACAAAGTCCTGGGATTTATCTACCTTTACACGTTTAAGACTTCCAGCACCACCTCTTCTGTAATGTGGATACTGCTCAAGATATCACTATTTATTCCCCAAGTTCTGCAGCATCCATACCTTTCTCAATGGTAAATAACTGACATGAAATATTCGTTTAAGATCTCACCACCTCTTGTGGCTCCACATGTTGATCTTTAAGAGGCCCTATTCTCTCCCTAGTTACTCTTTGGTCCTTCATGTACTTGTAGAATCTCTTTGGAGTCTCCATTACCTTACCTGCCAATGCCTCCTCATTTCTCTCAAGTGAACTCTGACACTCTCTATACTCTTCAAGGAATTCACATTGACTTCACTGAAAAGCAGCAACAAGACAATATAAGCCAAAATGTCTACAACAGTGACAAAATTTCACAATAAAATTAACTAGCTCTCCTGGTTATATGTCAGTGTTAGTGGTAAGAATATAAAACGTAACATTACCAATAATTCTGTATTGCAGAAATACCTGTTCAGAAATTTCTTTCAGCAGTCTCCACAACTCTGTCATGCCACTGAGGGAGCTGCAACTGAATCATAAATAAGTTATAAATATGGAGGGGAAAAAAAGTCAGCAAATCAGTATAAAGAACATTAAAATAAAACAAAGAACCGTGGCTACTGGAAATTAAAATTGTTGGACAAACTCATGCGGTCTGGCAGCATCTGGGAAGAGAAAACAAGAGTTAACATTGTGAGTTCAATGATGCTTCAAAATTCATCAGTTCCATTTTCCACAGCCTAATCTGGTTCATAGTTCTCACTCTGTGTTTTCAGTATTTTTCTGAAGAAGGGTCACTGCACCCAATACATTGACTATGCTTTCTCTCTGTGTCACAAGCCAAGGTACCCTGCTGTTGCTGCTGCTTCTGTGCTATGGAGTTCGACCAGCTTTGAAACTGCCCACTATCCTTGTTTGAACAACAAATCTGTTAATTCAGGGGAACTCCCTGCCAGGCAACTGTTCCCAACACATTACAGGGTGTTGTGACACCTTGTTTCACCTTGAAATCAATGTTTTGACCCAAAATCGGACTTAAGTACTTAGTCATATGTAGAAAGGTCCTTGACTGGTAAGTGAGTTATTTATATTTAGAGTTATACTGAATTGGGAAATTGTTTTTCATTATTAACTGAAGGAATTTGCAATCTGCACATGTTCACTAAACAGTGCTTTATAGTAAAAAATTACATCTTACCCATAACTGTTGACATCAGGAAATAGTAATTGGTTATATTTAGAACAATGGATTTGGTTCATTTTTGCCTTTGCCCCTCTATTCATAGAGTCAAGTTAATGCAAGGGTACTTATTACTTGGATCAAAAAGAAAGATATGGAGATTTGAAGGAAAACATGCCACCTTAAGAAACTGTTGGACTGATGTACGTGTTTCAATAAAGTTACATTATCCTCATTCTGTTACTTCCACACTCAAAGCTTTTATGTCAACTTCATCCTAAAATCATCATGTGATGATGGCTGCATTATTTAAAAAAACTATTGAAAGGCAGATGAAGTCACCACAGCACCTAATAAATTCAAATGGTCCGATTTATCTTCCTGCCCAGCATTAGAACTAATTTTAGATGAAGTTACAGACACATCGATCACATAAGATTCAGATGCCAAACATGAAGCATTTAGAGTGCATCATTCTGTGCACCATTCCAAGATGGTAATGGAGTAGGACTCCTCAACCAGAGCTGTCTGCTCCGTCCATTTCTATCTTCCTTCTTACCTCCCATCCTGGGTCTCAAGTGAAGTCAGTGCAAACATTCTGTCTCAACAGCATTCAGGTGAAGTCAGCACAGACTCCCAGCCTCGAGGTGAAATGGCGTGGACTGAAGATGAGGCCCGGGGCAGTGTGGAGGCTAGGTGCTGACGTGGCCTGGTTTGGAAGGACTGTTATTGTGACCTGTTATTTCTTTATTTTTCTAATTTGTATTTGAGAACTGTACCTAGGTACCTAAGGTGGTGCTGTAAGTGGCAACTTGTAAACTTTTCAATGTACTCATGTGAGTACGTGTGGTAATAAAGCTAATTCTAATTCTCATGTGTGCATCTATTCTCTTTGTTCCCACCATCTCTGTATAATGATTTACAATGAATGTTCCTGAAGTTGGACATTAAATAAAACACGTAACGACTGTTTCAAGAAGTAAAACAAAACGTTCGTAGTATTTGTTACGAGGTGAAAAGACATCAACAATATCCTCGAAAAACTTACAGAGTGATGTTTCTCGGTCAGTTTATTTCTGCAGTTTGGGTTTTTCTGCCATCAATTAATGTTTGTTTTCTTAACCAGGAAAACATGATTCTTCCAAAGTCCTTGTGTAGTAAGTTAAGGCCATCAGCTCGAGCAATGTGAGCAGCTACCATAGGGAAACCAAAAAGGTAATTTTACAGTTTAGTTCCAACAGTTTCCCACCATAGAAGTGCATGTTGGAATTCTGAGGAGGATGGAACTCACCAATACAAAAGCCACATGGTTTCTCATCCATTTATTTTGGTCAAAAAGTTACAGCTGAACTTTACACCTGTATTTCTGATGCATGTCCGTGTCACGCAAAGCTGCATACTGGGATAGATCGTGGCAGCAAGTATATAGGAAGAATAGCAATTAAGGGTAGAAATAAATTATCTAAAAATATAACATGTCCAGTGAAAATCCCCAGTGTGCTGTCTTAATGTATACTAATAAAGCACAAATTCTGTAGTTAAAATATTGCTGAGCAATCCAGCTGGGTCTTAAAACTTAGCATTTTTATTCTAACTTCTGACTACATTACACTAAAACCATGTATCAGTTGGTTTGTTATTCATATAACATTTAATCCAAAGAAGAATTGCAAGGCTAAAATTGATCAGTGCTGGACTATGGGTGCAAGTTGGTCTGTGTAATTAATCTTAAATTAACTTTGCATTCCTCTACAGACAGCCTGCTGTACATCTAGGATCAATTTTGTTTGGCTTCTTGGTAAATCTTAAGCGAAATTGTGGATAAGATGGCTCAATTGAGGAAAAATCCTTTGCAGCAAGTATCTACAATCTGGAATGTACTGCCTCAGATTCAGTTCAGGCATTGAAAAAGGAATTAGATTATCTTAAAAGGAACCTGCAAAGGATGATTTTCTCATTTGGAGAGTTGGTGCAGACATGGCACAGTGGCTTCATTCTGTGTTCAAACAAGCTGGACAAAAGGGCTTCAGTAAATCTATGTATGGAGAATTTTACTGAAATGAATAAACCTTTATAAAATAATAACAGCTTTGTAATTGCAAGCTACTTTTCATATAAATGAGATATTTTATAATCTGAGAAAACCAATGTCATGAATCTTATTAAGTCACAATCCTCGTCTCAACCACCAGAACCTCTCACCCTCCCCCACTCTCCAGAAAGTGTCCCTTATTTTACTTAATAAGATTTGTTCAACTTGCTACAAAATCAAATTGAAGTTTTCATAGAATGCTTCACACAGTTTTCTTTTTAATGATGATTACAGAGGATTTCCAGAACAACCAACAAAGCCTTTACATTTTTTAAAAAAAGGCGTTAACATTGCCATGAATTGGCCACCAATAATGAGGAACAATCATTCAGATTAGGCCTTGGTTCTGGTGTATGTTGTTTCTGTTTTACACTCGAAAATTAAAAACAACACTAAGTTATTTTGTCCCCATTCACAGATTATTGTGCAGGTTTGTCACCACAATTAAAACCTTTACAGCCATTCTGAATTATTGATTTAGCATGGCACTTTCTAGTGAAACACAGTAATTTTGTCAGTACATATTTTAAAACAACTCACCAGCCACAAAACAGTAGGGCCCAAATTTGATAAGGTGCAATAATGGGCGTGAACTGGTCATCCTGCTGAACTCTCTCTTTTGGTGCGTGTGTAGGACTGCCCTAAATTTATGGGCCAACCGCTGGCATCAATCAGGTCAGCTCTGGTTAGAAAGTAAGGGGCATTGGGCTGTGTGGACCAGCAACAGCCCACAACATTAATGTGGAGGTACTCCAGCCCCATCAGTATTGAGGCAAACTTTTATAAAAAGAGCCATTGTTTTGTCAGCCACCTCTAGTTTTATTTCTTTAAGGGCTACTGTAGATGAAGAACTAGGCAAAACTTGCATGGCCTAAGAATACCCATATTCCATTCTGTCCAAGACTGCATCCTCCTTCTACTCAAATCTTTATTCAGGCAACTAGCTTTCCTTGTGGATTTAGGTGGCAGACTGATGCGTCTATTCAGGGGAGTCCAACAAGTTTAAGAGTTGTGGCCCTCATGAGAAAGAGGGCCTGAGGGTTTGTACTCTCAGCCTCTGCCATTACAGCTCCTGCCGGAAGTGAAAACTGAGCCCTTACTCATTTCTTTTTGGGCTCACCTACAAAGGATGGCTAAATCAATTGGTGGATTAACATAAAGGCATCACTTATTGTGACTGGCTTGGACTTTGGTAACTGCCCATCTTCCCAGCCAGAGGGAATGAGAGACCTGTCAAGATATCACTGGAAAGAAAAGAGAATCAGACGAAAATAGAAAAATGTATTGTTTTCAAAAACAAATTACAATGGAAGACTAGCTATTCACCCCCAGCCCCCCAAAAAAATTAAAATAAACTGCTCGGAGGCAGGTTCTTATAGGATCGAAAGTATTTTTTTTACCAACCATCTCAGGTTATGTCTACTTCAACTGTGTGACCTGAAGTTGGCCACATCACATTAAAATACAGTACAACAAAATTGTATTATCTGCCACAACAGAGCACAACCTTTGCCTTGCCAATAATTTAAAATATCCCAAATTTTGATCTTGAATACTATAAGATGGAAAGAAAGCAAGTACTATAAAAGAAATCTGAAGAACAAGGTTTAAGCACTGACATTACACTGACACATTATCTCATGCAAGGCTTTGCCCTGCAATAGTTCTGACAAGGAAGCCAGATAATTTAGGCTCAATTGTACGGAAGTACATTCAATAGTTAGTTACTACAAGCTGACTTTTGACATCGAACTGGTTCATTTGCATTTACATCAAACTGTCATACAATACATTTAAAGGCATATGTAGTTATGAAAGTTTCAATTTTAAAATGGCATAATGCTGAAACGAACACAGGACATGTGAAATCACTGCAGCATTACATTCATTGTTGATAATTGCTTTTCCAGCTTTGGTGTTTTAATGACTAGATTACGCAATACGATGGCGCATTATTATTTAGTTGCTAATGAATCAACAAATTATTTTAATATAAGAAGATTTTTCCAACATACATACCACTTTTAACAGACCATGAAAAAGAAACTTAATAGCAGCCAATATTTAGAAAAATACTGGGTATCTTGAAACATCAAGAATAAATTAATATCTTTGGATCCTGTAATAGATCTGGGAAATCAACACGATAATAACACACAAATCTAATCAAGTAAACACAAACGACAAGCAAACAAGCTATGTTATTATTTACTAAAGAAAACAGGACTCAAAGCATTTGAACCACAGTAATAATCAAGGATATGGGGCCAGTTCAAGAAAAGAACTGCTTCAGGTGTAGGATTCATCCAGATTTATGTCAGTCTTACCAGCTTCCATATTCAACAAACTGAATGGATCAGAAAGAAGAGGATTTTCTGGAGCATTCTCTTCACTGATATGCAGGACGGTGTCTGTATGTTGAAGTAAGCTGCTTGATTCAAGCCCCGTAAGGTCATCGCTGGCAGAGATAGGGGGCTGATATGCAGATTCGGTTTGTGCTGTCAGCATTTTATCTGTCTTTGAGTCTTTGCTTTCAGACTCTGAAAATGTTGGCTTCATCTGAGAAGAGTAAAAGAACTGCTATAAGAACAGAACAAAAAAGGACTGACATGTTTTAACTGCCTTCCGATCCTACTGCCCTCTACGGTAATTTCCTGCTCTGAGACATATCGTGCTCCAGGTGTGGAAATCCCTGAAAGATCCACACTGTAAGAATGATCCTCTCACTGTGTGAATGAAGGGCCTTCCTCAATATCACCATGTCAGAAAAGCTGGCTCCGTGATCACAACTCATCCTCATTCCACAAATTTCCATTCTTTCATTTTGTTGCACAGAAAGTCAGCGATTGGCAGTGCACAAGTTTGTAAAATGCACCCATGTGTGTTCTACAAACAGTTCAGCAGCTTAATGTGTTACTGAGCATTATCTATTTCAACATGTAACTGTGGGAGGTGTTCTCAAAAGATATTAATGCTTTACCCCTGGGCTGTCTCAACATCCTATGTTTTCTCAACGTCTTGTTGGAGTTTGCTCTACTTTTAACTTCGGTTTTCTCTTCATTCTCATTCGTAACACACTAGTCTTCAACTGAATGAGGTCAAAAAAACTACTCCCCAGGTTTTTAAAGAGTAAACTGGAGCGTGTTGCACTTTGACCTGTTTTGCCCACATCCTGTGAATGAACTTAAAAAAAAACACGTTGGAGCAGCATTACAACAAATGTAATGCTGAGTACAACTTCACACCGCTGTCTGGAACCACAACCAGCCTTTCGAGTAAACTCAAGACTACACTGATAAATTGAACGCTCAAAAGAGAGACACCTTACAATGACAAGCAAATTGGATTGCTTTACAGCATTTTGGTGAAAATTCTAAGGGTTCACACCCCGACAATGGTGAGGAAGTGTCTTTTCACCCCATTGCTGCTAATGTAGTATTAAATGGCCTATGGCTGCCAGGTTGATGTGCCCGGGTTAGACACAAGTTAGTCCTTTCTAATATGGAGATTAGGATCCAAAGTCATACTTTGAACTATTATTACCATTTTGCCAGACAGAAAATATTCTATGCACACACGAAGGGAAAAGTTTCCACAATCCTTTCTACTTGGAGAATCGTTTTGAACAGTTAGCATAATTAACGTTTTATATGTTTCCTCAGAGACTTTGAAAGAGAATCCAAAAATGACACAAAACAACAGGGGAAACTTCTTCTAAATGGTTCTTCACTGTGCATCTTCCTGGTCCTTATGGGTTTCTTTAAATTAAGATTCTATCAGCTTACTCAGATGGATCCAATGCACTATCTGATGGACAGTGGAGCATTCCTGGTGTTCTGGTACCTACGGACTCACTAAACATCCGAACAAATTAACTACTCGATTCTAACAGATTTATTTCGTTCATTCACCAGATGAGGGGGTCACTGACTAGTCCAGTATTTATTATTCATCCCAAAGGGCAGTTATGAGTCAACCATATTGCTGTGAGTCTGGAGTCACATGCAAGTCTAGAACAGGTAAGGATGGCAATTTCCTTCCCTAAAGGACATTAGTGAATCAGATTTTATTTTTCTCCGACAATCGACAACGGACTCATGATCATCGTTCAACTCTTAATTCTAAACTTGTATTGAATTTAAATTCCACATCTGCTGTGGTGGGTTTCAAACTCTGGTCCCCAGAATGTTACCAAAGTCCCTAGAGTAACAGCCCAGTGATAATACCACTAGGTCAGCACCTCCACCAGTTTTATTCACAGAAACTCCATTTGTGAATTTGGCCGGTACATTTCTCTCCATAATAGTGAATACCTTCAAAAGGAATTCATTGAGGAATACTTTGGAACATCTTGAGGACATGAAATATTCCATTTAAAAGCAAATTTGCTTTTTCAATATATGAGCAAATGCAATGACATTTTTGACATTTTGCAATGTGGCAACCGCTTTGTGATCAGAAAACAGATTGTGTCTTCTAGCAGTCACCTCTTGCAGGTGCTAGCCTCGACTGGCTGTGAAGGACATGTACCTGGCAGTGGTCTAGATTGCTCGGATCCTGAATTAGAGGGGATCTAGGCGTTGCTGCTGAAACTGGTGAAGTAGCAGGCATTGATGTCCCAGCTGCTTCTGGTTTGCTGCTCTCTGCCTGCTCCATAGCACTTTCCTTCCCCTCGGCAATTGTTGCTTGTTGCTGAGGAGCGAGGGTATCCTGCTGCATTTCAGTGAAGGTCACTGACCGCTTTTGCTCTGTCAGTATCGAAAGATCAAGTGAAAACATATGACCTCAACTTAAGATATTTCTTTCATATACATGTTAAAAGAGCATGATTAAGTCGATGAATATCGGTTATAGCGTACATTTGAAGAATACAATAAACGACCCTGTAACATAACTGAAAAATCAGTGTGATTAGTTTCTCATTCCACAATATGATTTATTACCCCTTACATTATTCCGAATTTCTTCATTCTAGGTTTATTGTTTTCTCTTGCACTTTATTCCAGTCTCTAATTGAATCATAGAAACTTATGTCACACTGTGACTGTGCCTACTCTATGTAGAGACAAATGTGTTAACTGCCACATGTTTATCCATTTAAATTCTTCATCATTAAGAACTTGTTCAATTCCCTTTAAAAATGAGTTAAAAGGGTGTATCAGATCCCAAACTCTCCAATTCCATCATTTCAATAAGCCTGTGTGGGATTTTGTTGACTGCCTCCCAACTGCCCAAACAAACATTTTACGGCACTACCTTGCTCAGCCTTCCCTATTACCTCTTCCCTCTTAGAAGAGCTGATTTAGTTATTTAGATACAAGTTTTCTTTCATAAATCCATTCAAAGGATATTACACATTGGCAACCTATTTCCCGGTCACAATAATAACAGATAAGAGAAGACAAGTGTAATGAATTTAAATTTGCTTCATTGTCACATGTACTCACCTGAGTACAGTGAAATTTTTATATGTCACCACTTACGGCACTCTCTTAGATACAAAGGTACCTAGGTACAGATTCTTGAGCACAAATTGTTGGGAAAAATATTTTTAAAAACACAAAGAAATAAATAGTCCAGCATTACCAACCTTCAAAGTACAAAATCGTAATAATAAATTACATAAATGAAGAAATATTGGCACAGGAGAATACAAAAAAACTGACTAGGAAAGATCTGAGCAGTAGTGAAATGTGTACTATATGGCTATTGATTTCTGTGAAGGGATCATAATAAATTCATTAAACAAAAAAAACTCCAGATGGTGGAAAACAGAAACAAAAATGGAAATTGCTGGGCAAAAAAAAAACTCAGCAGGTCTGGCAGCATCTGTGCAGAGAAAGCAGAGTTAATGTCTCGAGTCCAGTGACCCTTCTCTAGAATAATAAATTCATTGCTGGAATTCATAAAAACAAAACACAATCTTCAGTGATAGTAGGAACTGCAGATGCTGGAGAATCTGAGATAACAAGGTGTAGAGCAGGACCTGCTCCTATGATGCTGCTTGGCCTGCTGTGTTCATTCAGCTCTACAATCTTCAGTGAATTCAGTTACAATTTTTATATTGGCTGCTTAAGTATCCAAGAAAATTAAATGGGGCGAGGAGGATATTGGGAAAGACTTGTGCCAGGCTGAAAACTTTACAGCTCAATTCCTTTGACTGGTGATCATAATTATCATTAAATGATTGTGGAGCTCGATGCCCACAAGGGGACCAAAATTATTCTGGAAATATTACAATCTTTTCACTGTTAATTTTCACTGCAAACCTTCCAAAGAGGTAGCTAAAATGCTATCTAATATTTGTTCCTTCAGTTTGAATGTCACATATCCCCAGTGGAAGACTTGGTAAAGGAGGCACACGGTGGCTCAGTGGTTAGCACTGCTGCCTCACAGCACCAGGAACCCAGGTTTGATTCCACCCTTGGGCGACCGTCTGTGTGGAGTTTGCACATTCTCCCCGTGTTTGTGTGGGTTTCCTCCCACAGTCCAAAGATGTGCAGGCTAGGTGGATTGGCCATGCTAAATTGCCCACGATGTTCAGGGATGTATAGATTAGGTGGGTTATAGGGATGGGTCTGGGTGGGATGCTCTGAGGGTCAGTGTGGACTTGTTTCTACACTGTAGGGATTCTATGATTCTAGGTAGATATCATAATTGGCATTGCCAAATCGTCCTTCCATTGTACAGCACATATCATGCTGTGAAAATTCCATGTCTTGAGGATTTTACAAAAATGAAAATTGTTGGAAAAGCTCAACAGGTCGAGCAGCATCTGTGGAGAAAAATCAGGATTAAAACAGTTCTGAGGAAGGTTCACTGGACCCGAAATGTTAACTCTAATTTCTCTCCATAGATGCTGCCAGACTTGTTGAGCTTCTCCAGCAATTTCCAGTTTTTGATTTCCAGCATCCAGAGTTATTTCAGTCTTTAGGATTTAGCTCATTTATTTGTCTTTTTTTTAATTTTTACTTTTATACCCTGAAATATTGCTTTCATCAAATGGTTATTAGGCTTTAAAATATTTCCATTTTCATATAACGACCTTTATAAGTTTAGTTTCCAACTGCATTCACTTCTCAGATAACCGCTGAATAAAAACTAAATTGTGGATCTTACCTAGAGATTTGGCTTTTGGCTGAACGCTGCGTCTGGTTGTAGACAGTCGGGCGCCCTGCCGTCCCCTTGCTTCAGCTTGTAACTTTGGACGCGAGAGGAGAGGGCGGCGTGGCTAACAGGAACGGGAAATCTTTTTAACAAAGTATTGTAATAAGCAGTAATGCTTTCCAAATTCATCTCATCCCCTTCAACCCTCTCGTTAACAATTAGATTTTTGTTTTGCAAAATGAAAGAAGTCAATATTAAGATAGAGGATATTTTCTATTTTTTAAAATCTCAAGTCACCATCAGATATGTCCAAATGTAATGTAAAGCTCTCTCTAATCTGTTCCAATAATGGACTGTAATTTAATTTTACATAAAATCAATTTTGTCTAGATCCTCATCACCTCTCTTGAAGGCAGCATTTCAATGTGATGTTCAGGGTACAATTCGTGGGTGGCATGGTGGCTCAGTGGTTAGCACTGCTGCCTCACTGAGCCAGGGGCCTGGGTTCGATTCCACCCTTGGGCAACTGTCTGTGTGGAGTTTGCACATTGTCCTCGTGCCCGTGTGGGTTTCCTCCGGGTGCTCTGGTTTCCTCCCGCAGTCCAAAGATGTGCAGGCTCGGTAGATTGGCCATGGTAAATTGCTCATAGTGCCCAGGGATGTTTGGGTTAGACATAGGAAATCAGGGGTAGGGGAATAGGTCTGGGTGGGATGCTCTTCAAGGGGCAGTGTGGACTTATTGGGCCAAATGGCCTGTTTCCACACTGTAGGGATTCTATGATTCAAGACATGTCTCAGGCATGAATCCCTGGGAATATTTTTGCTCCTTGTTCTAACAGTGTCACATGTGATTTAATTTGAACAAAGATAGGTATACTTGCATCAAGCTCCCTTGCAGCAAGCATAAAAGAGTTTACTCATAGGCTGCTTAGCAAAACTGGTCACCTATGCTTCGCTTTACACGGTGAGTGCTCTGAGTTGCAAGAAATTAAGAAACCAAATGGATTTTAGCTGCATTGGGAATAGGGTACCAGAATAAAGAAGTCTTGCCACAATCATACCGGGCTTGAATAAAACAGTGTGCGCAATTTTGGTCTCAATATTTAAGGACGAATTTGCTTGCATTGGAGGCAGTACAGTGAAGACTCGCTAGATCGGTCCGGATAAGAGTGTGAGAAGCTGAGTAAAATGTGTCAATGTTCTCTGGAATTTAGATGAGATGATCGAATTTAAATATTCAAAATACTAAAGGGACTTGATGGGGTAGATACTGAGGGACTGTTTCCCTTACCTGAGAAATCTAGGATAAGGGAACATAGTCTCAAGATACAGTACCAATCAGTTAGGACTGGGTTGAGAAGAAATTATTTCACACAAAAGGAGTGTAAGTCTGTGAAATTCTCTGTCCCAAAGGGTTGCAGATCCTACATTGTTCAATATATTTTGGGTGGGAGAGACTGATTTTGGTCTCAGGAAATGACGAGATCTAAGGAGTGGATAGGAAAGTGGTATTGAAGTTCAAAATTAGCCATGATTATATTCAAAAACAGAATGGGCTCAGTGCTTTATGATCTTCTATTTCTTAATGTTTTGTGTTCTGCTCACTGATGTATGAATTATGTTTTGAACGCTTTACTGTGTCTTAATGTTCTTAGTTATACTGCATTGCACAGAAATATATTGCATTTACCATGAGCGATTATCATTTTAGAATTCTATATTTCTTTTTGCTCATGGCACTATTAAGCATTTTTGTTTTTATTGGTCTCAGGGTGTTAATAGCAACTTTTTGTGATGACTAATATCTCCCCTCTCACTCCTAAGAAACAAAGCATACGTTATGTTTAGTTTCTGCTTTTTTAGCATTGCTGTAAAGATCAGAATTCAGTTTCTCACCTGCCGGAGACCTCTCTTTCTTCCCAATGGTTGTTGTATAAGCAGATTCTGCTGCCCAGGTTCACTTTGAACACTTGCTACCCTGTTAAGGATATTTAGTGTTAATCAGATTACAAATAATTAACTAATTCTGAATTTCTTTTATTAATTGTTACTCTTGTAGTGCTTGTTTCATGTTTCAGAAAACTATTACTAACTTAATTTCAGCAAATTAATTGTCTTGTTCTCAATTTATTGTGTATTATTTTAAAACACCCACCTCAGACTCCATTAACTCTAATTTCCTGGCATTGTAAAGCAGTTTGTACTCTTCAAAATTAGAATGCTTAAAAAAGATGCTAGATTTTTTTCAGCTACTTTTATATTCATAACTTGGTTGAAATTAATGATTTGTCAGTCTGGCATTTACTGAAACTGAAATTTGAATAAATATTCATACAAACAAAATGCTTTCCCTTTTGCTGGTAGAACATTTACATCACATTTCAGCCCAAATACCTCTCCTCTAATCTGTGAGAACTCATGGAACACTGTTAAAAGGAAGATAAAGTTGCAATAGTGCACAGGTCTAAAACAAAAACAAACACTACAGTTGATTTTTTTTTAGAAATGGCAATGGTGGAGGTGTAAACAACTTGTTTCTTATATTTTGTAATGTTCAAGAACAAAGGGCTGTCAAAATGTCAATAATTCATCACATAACACAACTTTTAATAAACAGTTCTGCTAAAAATGAAGCAATACAATGCATCTAAATTCAAGCTCTCTTACATGTAATTGATTCTCCAGACTTAATCGTACTAGGGGACAGAAAGTCGTGGATAGAGCTCCTGCATTCACCAGGATGTTCAAAGCAGACATGCAAGACTCCCAGCTCCCATATACACTGAAAATTACCACATGCAGACCTGATTTTCTCCTCAGGATTTCCTCTGAGCATGTGTTTTTTCTTTGAAGGACATGTTGAGATAGAAATTTGTTCATGTGGCATTCTTCCACCACTTACTGCGGGGTGTGCTATGGCGCTAGCATCCCTTTTGTGTGCTACTGCTGGTTATTGATGCTGGATAGTCCATTCACTGGGTGTCACACAGGCACACCAACTACCATGATGCCAGCATTGGAAACCTGCACCCACGGGGGTTTCTTGTATATCCATCAATGTAGCTCATAGCAACAAGCTGGGATCTCAGTCTGTTCACATTACAAGTCAAAGGAGAGGTATTTTTCAGTTAATTGTAGCTGGGTCCTTGGAGGTTTTATTTTCAGTTCCTGAATACAGCCAAGGAGAAGAGGACAACCTGGCCAAGTGTGGAGGCATTTGTTGCAGTGTCCCCTTTTCTCTCACGGTGTGTGGACTTCGCTGGCAAGGCCGGCATTTGTTTCCCATCCCCAACTGCCCTTGAGCGGATTGATTTTGTATGCCATTGCAAAGGGCAGGTAAGAATCAAGATTTCATTGCTGTGGGTCAGGGATGACATGTAGGTCAGACCAGGTAAGGATGGCAGACATCCTTCCTAAGGGGCACGAGTGAAGTAGGTGAGTTTTTACATCAATCGGCGATAACTGTCGTGGTTGCAATAACCATCACCATTGCGCTCTGCCTCCAGGAAGTCCTGGTCTTAATCTCCTGCAAAGGAGGCAATGCCACCCTGTGGGGGAGCAAAACCGGGCCTGACTGTGGCTCACTTGTGCCCCATGACTTCCCTTGTGCATATCCTGATCAGCTTTTGCTGGCTTCCAGGCAGAACTCTTAAGGACCTGAAAGCAAACAAACAGAAGCGAAAGGTTAAAAATGGGGTGGCATGGAGCTTTTTAGCCACACCATCTGAAGCTTTCAGTTGATGACAAATCCCAGGAGAGGCCGGTGGGAGGTAAATATAGGTTTGAGAGGCACAAGACAGATTGCACCCTCCTCCCAAAACAACCTCTCTGAACTAGATTCCATGGGCTATGTCACCTGCTGTTGCAAAATCTCAATGATCTCCTTCTGGGGTTCAGCAGATAGCATCTTGGAAATTGCCCACCCTTTTCTTCCTGAGTTGTGTTCGTTATTTTCCCCTGAAGAAGACAGAGAGAGAGGCAGACTGACAGTGATTGTACAGCATTGTCCTTTGCTAATGTGTATAACAGACAAAGGTACGTGAAGCAAGAGATAGGTGTGATTCTGCCAGATTTGGAAAGATGTCTGTTGATGAGGTGCATGTTAGGTGAAAGTTTGAAGTGAGGAGTTGATGTGTGCCAGACATGAGATGTAATGCAAATCTACTTTCACTCACCTTGAGCAACAGGTCCTAGGTCATTGCACTTTTTCAGGAACACTGTCACACCCTATGGATGAGAGTCTGAGCATTAACCTCCCTCCCTCATCAATCTGGTACATGAGAATATCCTACCAACCCACAGAATCATGGCGTCCATCCTGGAATCCACCTTGCTCACCAGGCCCTCTAAAGCAACACCAGAGAAGCATGATTTGAATGAGTGTGAGCCAGGTCACACGTCACAACTCATCTGTAACAAATCGAATTTCTAGTCCACCATGTATACCCAGCACTTGCAGATCCATGCCCATGTTACTTTCTTCACATCAGAATTATGCTTCGGCTACCAGTATGGACAGCACAGTGGCTCAGTGGTTAGCACTGCTGCCTCACCTGGCTTCGATTCCAGCCTCAGGCAACTGTCAATGTGGAGTTTGCACATTCTCCCTATATCTGCGTGGATTTCTGCCAGGAGGAGAACATGCCCCCATCTACATCAACGGAACTGAGGTTGAGAAGGTGAAGAGCATTAAGTTCCTTGGAGTAACGATAACTGACAACCTGTCCTGGACTTCTCACGTAGAGGCAACATTCAAGAATGCACAACAATGCCTCTTCTTCCACAGGCAGCTCAGGAAATTTGGCACGTCCATAAGGACCGTCACCAACTTCTATAGATGCACCATTGAAAGCATAGTGTCTGGGTGCATCATAGTCTGGTACGGCAACTGCTCTGCCCAGGACTGTACGAAACTACAGAAGATGGCGTGCACAGCCCAGAACATCACAGAAGCCAACCTTCTATCCATGGACGCTATTTAAATGGCTCGCTGCCATGGAAAGGGGGCCAACATCATCAAAGACTCATCGCACCCTGGTAATGATCTCCTGCAACTTTTATCAGCAGGTAGAAGATACAGAAGCCTGAACACGCACACCAGCAGGTTCAGAAACAGTTTCTTCCTGGCTGTTATCAGACTGTTGAATGGACTCTCTAGAATCAAATAACTCTGATCTTGCTCATGTTGATCTTGCCTAGAGCACACTCTGTGCAATCTAACCTGTATGCCGCTGTCTAAGTCTTTTGGATCTGTACATCTTTTGCTTAGGAAAGAAGAGATAAAATCGAAGGTTACTTAATGAAGTCAACAAGAGCTTTGGAGTGATCGAGAGCTTCTACAATGATTATGCTATGAAGCACAAAAGATCAATACTGGTTGAAATGGATTTGGGGACTGCATTTATGTAAATAATTGCCTGTCCTGTATAATGCTAGATAGCACATCATTAACAAAGAAATATGGTGCAGTAGAACATCGGACATGTTCATTAATTACATAATATCATCTGTGAAGAGGCATAACTGACTTTGCTCTGAATTTCTGATAGTAAGAGAGTCAATGGGTGTGAAAGTTCAGTCAGGAGCCCACTACTCTGGACTGCTGTTCATTTTTGTAACCTTCCTATTTTCCATAGACACAATCAACTGCATATTTAGAAGCAGGTATACAAACAGGGCACATATATTTAAGTGAAATGATAATGTAACACTATTCACCCCATTTTCCATTATAGCTTTATCATTTATTCATGACAGTGTATAAATAAGAACAATAATGTGAATTTTAACATTATTTTAATTTCAAATATCTAATTCATTCATAAAGTTACATATAATATATGTGAGGTAAAGTTAACAGCAATGGAAAAGTAAAAAGCCTGAAACATCAAAAGATTTCACTTACTTAAAGAACATGACAGTTTGATAGCAAGTAATACATTAGAATCCTGAAATTTCACTCAATTGCCTTGATATTCCAGGGGCATCTCAGTTTTCTCTTTATCAAAATGATGGGTAATTTAGATAAGGCATGGAAAATGTATTCAGAAGGAACAGAGATGGGTCATTAAAAGGAGTGATATTTTATTGTCCCCTTCCTTTTGATACTGTTACGTTTTATATTACACCTCCACCTTTACCAAAAGTTTCCATCAAAGATTCAGTCATTTGAAAAGCTAGGGTATGTGTGCACGAATGGATAATATGGGAACATGGGTGGATAACATTCGTGTGATGGAACATTTTCATGGCATTTCTGATCTCCAATTAAATCACAGGTTTCACAGAGAGAAAAAGAAACGTGAGATTAAAAGACATGTGAATGGCAATGTGGTTTTTGTTTGGAAAAATCAGATGAAAACTAAATAGCAAGACTTATTAAATGACAGACAAAAGTGTTATCAGGATTCCTAGCATGTACATTGACATAAATGCAACATTACACTGTACCTAGAAAGGTTAATCTCAGCAGCCAGCCCCTGGGATTCATCGAGGACATTAGGTTCACTGCAGGGCAGGGAGATGAGTATTTAGGGAAATGAAGCATGCCTTGTCTACAAACAGGGCAATTCACAAGGTGGCATGCTGTTAAACAGCATACACTTACTATACATTGCAAAACAAATCAATAGACTTAAACAAATTTAGGGACTGGAATTTCAAATCAAGTATAATGTTTAAAACACATGCAAACCGAAACAAATTCTACATTGCTCTAGACCAGGAGGAAAATCTCACCTACTACGCAAAGAATTAATAGAAAATATGATCAATTTTAAGACTGAAGCCTGTTTTGCTAAATAACAGAACTTCGTTTTCCGCCCCATTGGAGGTTCAGAGAGATTTACTTATGGATGTCTAAATTAAACACAAAAATTTGAACATTCTTTAGCATACAATGCTGGAAAATTAAGTCAAATATTTGAATGCTATTTATGCAGATGTTATGTAATAAAATTGTATGGTGTAGGTTTGCACCCACAAACAACTGAGTGCAGGTAAACATATGAAAACTCAGAAGGTAAGACAACTCAGGCCAGTCTTGACTTTTAGCACTTAATTAGAGAGAAGGATTGGTAAAGATTGACAGTGCACCTGGCCACAGAATATATGTTACAAAGGTACATTGCATAGAAATTAGCACTTTAAAAAGAAGGTAAAATGCCACAAATATTGTTCTCAGAACCACAATGTTGCTTTAGTCTCAAAGTAGAGTACACTTAACATTGAAATCTTTATGAGAAACAATACAACAGTTTAAGCAATAGCAGTCTTAAAACACTGAACCTGCTGACAGTATATATTTTTCTTTACGCATGGGATATGGACGTCGTTGACTGGGCCAGCATTTATTACCCATCCCTTTTAAATCATGTTGCAAGAAATTAAATGTATTCAATGCTAATAATAACATTACCATTAACCATTGTCACAGGAACAAATGATTTTATTCATCTCTAAGCATTTGGGTGTCATTACTTACCATTATTTTGATTGTGAATTTGTTAACCACAATGTTTGATAAACAATTAGAAAATGGGCACAAAAATTAAATTTACCTTATCTTTAAAATGAGGATCACCCATTACAGATCGGGATGAAGGGATTTTTTTTCCTTTCAGAGGGTCATTAGCTGTCAAATTCTTTCCCCACATAGATCAGTGGAGGATCACTGTTATTATTGCTGTGTTTAATTAATCAGTTAAAAATAAATCAAAAGGACAAAATACATTTTCACCCAAACTCTATATAAAAACCCAAGTGTCAACGATCAAATGAATGTTGATACATGAGTATTTTCAAACTAATCTATGTTGGATTTTGTTTTCAAAGTTACCAAATGTGTTCTTTGTTATGCTATACTTTGTCCTTATGCAGTATACAACTTGTCCCAAATCATCATCAACATCATTTCCATTCTGGACAGTTGCCTTTGTTTGATGGAATTTGTGAATTATTGACAGGACTTCACATTAATAGATGTACCCACTGCTGATTAAACAGATCATAACAGTGGAACATGCATGATCCAGGCGGACTTGACAGGATTGATAATTAAAGGATCTTTCCCCTAATGGGATGGACTAGAACTAAGGGACACAGAATAAGATGAGGAGACTCTCATTTCAGATGGGGATGAAGAAAATTTCTTCTCTGGGGGTCATTAGCCTGTGAAATTCTTCTCCCCCATACAGCAGTGGAGGATCACTGATTCCTATTATAGCAGAGTTAAATAGATTCTTGCTTGACAAGAAAGTCAAAGGACAAAGGTATTAGACATGAAAGAGAAAGCTGCAATCAGGTCAGGTATGATCATTAATATAAACAGATAATGATAACTACTAACCATGAGTCATGGACAGAACTAAATTAATTAAAATAGAAATATTCATAATTTCAAAGCTACTTTAGTTTTCTTCCAAGTAAAAGCACATGATGCTCCAATAAAATTCATATAAAAGCTACTTCAATGATTACAGCTAATGATGAACATAAAAGCTCCCATACCCACAACCAATAAAACTAATGTAATGTACAAAATATCATGTAAGGACTGTGAGAAACATCACATAGGCCAAACTGGAAGAAAACTGACAATAAGAATACACGAACACCAACTAGCCACCAAGAAACACAACCAATTCTCACGGGTCTTAATACACTCGGACAAAGGAGGACACGAATTTGACTGGGACAACACATCCATAACAGCACAGCCAAACACAGAATTCCTGGAGGCCTGGCATTTCAACCAAAACTCCATCAACAAACATATTGAACCGGACCTAATATACAAACCACTGAAAAACAGAACTAGAAGTGATGCCAACCACCCCAGCAAACTGAGGCATATAAATAACAAACGGGACAGAATGCCAACACTTTACCGGAGGCGCACTGACGATGTTACCTAGCAGGGTGACAAGGCATCTGGAACCAAACACATTGGCTTGGCGAGCAAATCTACAAACTCATCCACAACCCGAGCTACAAATCTTCTCAAAAACTTCAATTCAATGATTTTTTTTTAAAAAAATGACTAGATGTTCTTACAATCTAAGGCAGCTAGCTGAGAGAATTCCACAATCCAAATATTTGAGTGCTTCATTGTATGGATTAGGAATTCCTAAGTCTGCCTAGCCAGGATGTTGCCAGGAATGGAAGGTTTGAGTTATAGGGAGAGGCTGGATAGGCTGAGACTTTTCTCACTGGAGCATAGGAGGTTGAGAGGTGACCTTACAGAGGTTTTTAAAATCATGAGGGGTATAGATAAGGTGAATGGTAGATATCTTTTCCCTACGGTGGGGTATTTCAAGACAAGGGGGCTTTTTTTTTAAAGGTGAGATGGGAAAGATTTAAAAAGGACATGAGGGACAATGTTTTACACAAAGAGCAGTTCGTGTGTGGAATGAACTTCAAAGGAAGTGGTGGATGCAAGTACAGTTACGATCCTTAAGACATTTTGATAAGTACGTGAATGAGATAGGTTTGGAGGGAAATGGGCCAAGTGCAGACAGGTGGGATTATAGTTTAGTTTGGGATTATGGTCAGCATGCACTGGTTGGACTGAAAGGTCTGTTTCTGTGCTCTATGACTCAATGACACAGGGGAATTCCAGGGACATTTGCAATCCAGCCATCCATGAGAAACTTGTACCACCATTCTTTTCATCTTTAAGGCAGTTCAAACTCTTCACGAACAGAAAGTGACCTTTAGGAATGTATTTTGCAGCAAACAAATGTTGCTCTGCTTTTGTCTTCACTCGCTTTCAAAGTTTGGAATGATTCATCCTTGCTGCTTTTCAGAGGTCTCCTGTTCCAGTCACTCCATGAAGATCTCATTGAAAAATTTACCTGCACTGTCCTAGAGGATTCCCACTGGCTTTTAAAGGCATTGGAATCAATTTAGTGTGACTTTATTAATGATCCTGGTGGAGAAGTGGGTTTCATTCTCCCTCATTAACACGACTGTAGCAGGTAACTCTGGCTCGCTCAAATCTAATCTAAATTCTGACATTATCAAAATGAGGACAATGTGAAAATTGTAGCATCATGATCATGGCCACAAAACTAGGCATTCATCTGACTGACCTCATGCCAACTCGGTAAATTAGCACAATGGTTATGTTACTGGTCTAAAAATTCAGAGGTATGTGCTGAGACATTTAAATTCAGTAAACAAATTAATCTGGGAACAACAAAAAACTAGTATCTGTAATAACGACCATGTAACTAGCATTGACTGTAAAAATTCAAATGCCTACTAATGTCCTCTTCCATCCATACCAAATTAAATCCACATTAGAAATATTGTGGATACTTAACTGTGCTTTAAAATGGCCCAGCAATCTAATAAAATCATGTAAAAGATAATCAGGGATGGACAATAAACATTGGCTTTGCCAGGGACATCATGGTTGAATATGTTAAGAATTTGAATAGAAATCCAAATGTAGAAGTATCAATTATCAATAAAAGAAACCATGAAACAATTACAAACAAAAGCAGAGTGTGCTGGATGAACACAACACGTCTGCCAACATCTGTAGAGAGAAAACAGAGTTAATGTTTCGAGTCCAGTGACCTTTTTCTGAACGACAAAGATCACTCTCTAACAAGGAACACAGGAACAGTGTACCAGTTAGCCTTGACCCTGTTCCAGTATCCAATGAGATCGTAGCTGATTTATAACCTAATTCTATATTTCTCCCTTTGCCCCACTTCTCCCAATGCCTTTGCATATTAAATATCTCCTTCAAAAATTACCTTTGGCCTAGCATCAACTGTAATTTGTGGAACAGAATTTCAAACATCTCCCAGCTTTTGTATGTAGAGGTGTTTTCTAAATTCATTCATGGAAGTCTGGCTCTTTTTTATAAGAAGCCTATTGGCTCAGAAGAATTAAAGGCAATCTTGTTGAACCATGTAAGATTCTGAGGGGACTTAGCAGGACAGATACAGAAAGGATACTTCCCCTTGTGGAAGGCACAACATCTAAGGAACACACTTTAGAAATATGGAGTCTCCCATTCAAACTGGGGATAAAGCAAAATTATTTCTCTTGGAGGATTGTCTGTGGAATCCTTTGCTCCAAAGCAGGGTAAGAGAATATGCTTAGAAGTCAGAGGTTTACAAGGTCATCAAAAGGTATTGGGATTAAATGAAAGCGAGCCATGAGCTTCCTCAATGGGGCAGCAGGCTTGAGGGACCAGATAGCCGCTTGCTCCTCTGAAATTGTAAGTTCATATTTCTACATGTCGCAAAGAATCCTTATTTTTATATTCCACCCTCTTTGCAATAAACGACCTTTCTAATTACTTGCTGTATGTTCACACTAAGTTGTGATTCATGTACTAGGACACCTAAAGCGTCCACCTCGAGTTTATAATCTCTCTGCTGTTTTTCTACTCTTTCTGCCAAAGTCAACAAGTTCACATTTTACTCCATCTGCTAAATTTCTGTCTCCTCACTTAGCCTATCTATAGGACTTCTTGCCTCCACTTCATAACTTACTTTCCTATCTATCATTGTGTTGTTGGCAAAGTTAGCAACCGCATATTCTGTCCATTTATCCAAGTTTGAAAAACAGCCCCAGCACTGATCCTTGTGAACGACCTGGAAATCCAAGCACGTCACACGTCTACAGGTTCCCCTTTATCCATGTTGCTTGTTACCTAGTCAAAGAACTCTAAATTATGAGTCAAATATGACTTGCCTTTTAAAAAAATAACATATTGACTCTGTCTGATTGCATTGAGATTCTGAAGGTGTCTTCCAAAATCCCTAATGATAGATTCCAGCATTTGCCCTATGACAGCTATTAGGCTAACTGGCCTGTAGTTTCCTGCTTTCTGTCTCCATCCTTTCTTGAAGAGTTACATTTACTATTTTCCAATCTGGTGGGACTTTTCCATATCCCTATTGCAGTGAGAACTCAGTGATTATACCAGGTTGACAGCTTCTTCTGGAATTTTTAATTGTTGGAGTAATTTTGCAACTCTGTTTGTGAAACAATCAGCTTCACTCGCATTTAAAAGAAACCGGCTTTGAGCAACCTAGAGCAAAGCTGATGAATCAATTGAATCGAGACGTTCCCAGCTTTATGAATCAGTCAGATCATTGGTGCAACTGGAATCTTTCAGCCTATGTTTAAACAAACTGGACCATACACTCAGATTCTACTGTTATTCTCCACACTTAACATACTTCAGTATTAAACTTAAATAATAATTTATATGACATTTAAATGAAAGTTATAGAAATTGTTGGCCTCATTACCTGTTGCTGGGCAAAATTCTGAGGCCCGAGTCTGACTGAGGAGCAGACATGCTAGAGACATGGCTTGAAAATCGACGATGCCCCCTACTGCTGCTGGCCAAATATGCTTCCTGTTCACTAACAACGCTAGGCATGCTAACGGTGTCATCTGCAGGGCAGAAAGGAAAACTCATTTAGATGGCTTTCTTTTCCTAATGAAATAGCAACGCTATGATCCACGCATGAATGACAACATTAAAAATAATAAAGGTAGCGTGAAACATGCTGGAACCCCCATTAATAGCAGTTTCAACGATACTTCTGTGCTGAGGATATCGAAGTTGTAAAACTGCTTTTTTTTTTCCAATTCTTGCTTTTTAAAAGTATGAAAGTTTAAATTGCCTTTCTGTGCACTGGGTTTGTGTCCATCTGGTGACAAAATAATTTGCCAACAGTCATAAGTGGGTTTTCCTATGTAAAATGTACATTTTTCAGTTATGGTCAGTGCAGATTATAAAAGTGAAAGAGTTTTTAGTCCTCCAATCAAAAAAGGGAAGGTAATTCATCTGGGATGGGGATCAGTGAAACAAAATGGTCCCTGGAAGTGATCTTAGCCCCCGAAACTCGCTGAACTTTTCAGTTGTACCCAATCAAGGAGTTCCCACTTGAAGCATTTTACATTCTTAAATTCTGTCCCTCCTTCCCATGCAGCTTACCCAGGACACACCATTTCCTGTTTAACACAAACTTTAGTTAATGCAGCTCTGTTTTCAGCTACAATACGTTATGCAAACATGACACCCAATGTCATTGACAGCCTTCTTATGGGAACACAGAATGCTGTTATTTCAATATTTGATTTGTGTGCGCTCTCAAGTAATGAAAGCTGGAATGCAAATTTGGTACTTGTAGAACTGCTTTACTAAATAATAAATAAGTTCTGAGTAAGTGTTACCGGATCTGTAACGTTAACTTTAATTTCTCTTCGCAGATGCTGACAGACCTGCTGAGCTTTTCCAGCAACATCTGTTTTTGATGCTTTTTTAAATAAATACAGTACTGTTGCTACATGCACAATCACCATGTATTATTGGAAAAATAGAGAAAAATACATGTAGTTCACAGAGACACTTCTAGCAGAATGATCGACAGTAGATACTTAACTTCTTAGTCAAACTCTAACTCCAAGGTACTAAAACTAATTCTCATCATGGCCCCAAAGTCACATACTCATTTACTCTCTTAGCCATTGGGTAAAGCCTCCAAAAAGCTATATCTTTAGTTATCTGTTTGACAGGATGAAATTAAAGTAGAAAATGAGTAGAGAGAAAACTGGAAAAGCAAAATACTGCCCACCGTACCGTCCTAAATAACTATATTTATATAGCCCATCACAAAGCTTACCTGCCACAAAGTTCCATGTCTTTTTGCCATGTTGTCTAGTGAGTCAGTGTGTAGATTTGGAAAGTAGTATTGGCATAAAGGCCATTATCTATCACTGAAACCAATTGTACTGGAAAATCCTAATCATGTGGTTATCTTGTTATAGAACATCTTTCTATGTGTAATGTGGCCACTATGTTTCCTACATTGCAACAGTGACTACAGTTCAAATTTAATTTGTTGACTGTAAAATGTGTTGGTATGTCCTGAGGTCATGAAGCACGTGACCTCAAGTCTCTCTTTATAGAGAGTATCAGCTATGACCCAGATCTACGTATTAAGCCAAATTGCACTCCATGGTCCATGACTGGATAAATATAAAAGAACTGGCCTACTAATGTATGGGCGCTGAACCCGTTTTTACAAATGGGAAATTGATTACGTTATTTGGTAAGCAGTGTCCCCCCTATTTATCTAGTGTCAGAAGTACTTAAAACGTTGAAATGAGTGTCTAATGCTTGTTGTACAAGTGTTGTTAAACTGGACAGGTCCAAAGTTGTCTTGCCCCGTGATAATCTTTTAACTTAACGATGATAACAGACAGAATGGACGAGTGTAAATTGAAGAATTCATCTGTATATGTTGGATTCATTTTCAGCTGGCAGCTTAGACTACTGAATGACTGGAGTTTGGCCTAGTTTATCACTTCTGAAACTCACCTCTGACCTTTCAAAACTTTTTGTTGATGAACTTGTCCTCACTAAATGGCATCCCTGCCTTGTTTATTCACTTTCTAGCTACTGGGAGAGGAAGTCATCTTGTGTAGCGGTGTGAAATATGACACATTCCATCTGCCATTTATCACACTGGTCAGCATACATTCAGTTCCAACATAGTCAAGGTTATTGGTTAGTTTGGTTGGCCTATATACTAAGGACTGTATGCATTAAGGGTAAACATGTCAGGGTGATTTCCTGATTTGGCAGCTCCCCCCCCAATCTCAGTTTAAAGCCCTTGGTGACACTCTGCAAGGGGAGGGATGTTAAGGGAAATGGTGTGTGGCTGTGGGATAGAGTCAGGACAACTGACCCTGAGAGAAGGTCAGAGCTAAAAAGCTGTTTGTTTCACTGGGACTTTTTCGCCAATTGCAATAATACCAAATATTCTTCCTCACCTCTCACGCCCTTACCCGTTCTTCATGTCTTTGCCTTGCCAACTGATGCCCCCACATGGCTCCTCATACCCTTCAGTAGCACAGAATGCTATCTTGTCCAGTGTCCACCATGGACAGATCTCAAAGAGCCATGGGGAGATGAAAAAAATAAACTAATAATTTAAAAAAACGTTCACACTATACACTTGATGGTGACAAAGCTCCCATTCATGAAGCCCATTCAAACTTTTTAAATCTCAGGTGATCAATTTCTCACAATATAAACTTCTGTTTCAGTCAAATTGTGAACTCAACCTCCTGCTGAGATAATTATAGTTTTTGAAACTTAGACAAGCTGTGTAACGGCGTGATGATACAAGAATTGATGGGGATGGTAAACAGTGAGAAGGACATCCTTAGATTACAGGAAGATATAGATGGTCTGGTTAGATGGGCTGATCATTGGCAAATGGGATTCAATTTGGATAAATGTGAAGTGGGCAGATAGACAAGGCAAGGGAGTACATGAAATAATAAGACCATGGGAACCACTGAAGATCAGAGGACCTTGGTGTGCATGTAGGGGACAGATAGATAAAGTGGTTGAGATGGCATTAGGAAATCTTACCTTTATTACCTGAGGCTTAGAGTTTAAGATCAGGAAGGCAATGCTGGAACTGTATAAAACATTGGTTAGTCCACAGATAGAGAGTGTGTGCAGTTCTGGAATCCATTTTGTAGGAGGGATGTGGTAGCACTGGAGAGGGTGCAGAGGAGATTTACCAGAGTGTTGCCTGGACTGGAGAGTTTAGTTATGAAGAGAGATTAGACAGACTGGAGCTATTTTCCTTAGAGCAGAGGAGATTGAAAGGGGACATTATTTAGGTATATCAAATTATAAGAGGGATTGACTGGTAGGGACTTTTCCCCTTGATGGAGGGATCGATGATCAGGGGACATAGGTTTAAGTTAAAGGATATGGGATTTAGAGGGAATGCGAGGAAAAACCCTTTCATCCAGAAGGTGGTGAGAATCTGGAACTCACTGGCTGTAAGGGTTGTAAATGCAGAACTTCTCATAACAAAGAAGAAGTATTCAGATGTGCACTTGCAATGCCAAGGCATACAAAGCTATGAACCGAGTGCTGGAAAATAGGATTAGAATAGTTAGGGAGTTGGTTTTGCCTGGCACAGACTCGACTGCCCAAAGGGCCTTTTCCTGTGTTGTAGACCTCTTGTGACTTTGTTACACCATACTAGCCTTTCGGGAAATCAAACACTGCATCAACAGATGCTACAGCAGCTGAGCCTCAATGTAAGCAATCCAGTAGAGGATTTTTTTTTAAGAAAACAATCACGGACAATATCAGCCAGAATTTTTCTACAATCTAGAAAAGAGACAAAAAGAACTTGAGGTCATGGCATTTAAGCAGACTTTATCTCCCTTTCAAGAGCGTTTGTATCTGCTCCACAAATCTGTGACTTCCACACTGCATTTTAGCACATACCACTGAGTTGAAATGATCAAATAGACTTGTTAAGATTGGGTTTCCCTCCTGTGATATTCATGCACCATTCCATTTCCTCGACTGGCAAAAATAGGGGCTGGATTTCCACAACCTGAGACATCTATCAATTTTAAAAACCTGCAGATTCTTCCCAACTCTCTGAAAATCCAGTCCTTATTCTTACAGCAATCAAACAGCAACATCTTAGAACAATTACCACGACATACCAGAAATCACACCTCAGACTAACCTGCATTATGTCTCAGACTTTGTACATACACACTCTTTTATATTTCCACTGAGTTGGATTGCTGATTTATATGCAAGCAGGTATTTCTTTTTGAGCAGTAGAAAATGCCGATTGAACTTTGTGTCAAGAATTTTTAAGTTAAGAAAAACTTGCGCCAAGTCAAAACTGCAGCTTTTAGTGCTTGTCATCATGCTTCTTAGGTGCAAGACTGGGCTGAAATTTGAATCATATTTGGTTGAAAATTCTGAAGCTTGCTGAAGAATTGCACAGGCAAAGAATTTATTGATTGGAAATTTTGCAAATTACAGAGGTGCATTTAACATTCTAACAGGCACCATTCGAAGACAATTCAACTTAGACCTCATGTTGCATTAAGTACAGAAACAGCAGCTCATGCTATTTTTCATAGCCAGAACGAATCGCGATTGTTGAAATGAAAGAAGTGCAAATGATGATCAGACTGTCATGTTCAATCTAATAAAAGCAAATATCATGCAAGTTGAATTGAAGCAGTAATGACAAATGCTCACTTTCACCATCCTCCTCATCAGTCCTGCTTAGTGTGTCCTGAGAGGCCTGATGAGAAGGTTGGCTGTCCTGCTCCCACACAGTGCCTGTCCCCGTGTTTGAACGAGACATGGTGGCCAGACTCAAGCGGTAAGCTGATGTGGAGGTTCCCACAGTGCTGATGGAAGGTTTGCCTTGGTATGCTGCAAAGATATAATGAACAAGTTATGTGAGACAAATATGGCACTGCAAGATTCTCATTAGAGTCTTAGTATTTTCATCAACTGCAAGGCAGTAACAGGAGTCTTGCACAAAAGAAAATGATCAGAAAAATTAGTAAAATGCATGGGAGAACCGTAGACTGCTTCCGTTCTCACTATATAGATCAGTGGGTTGGACAATGGGAAATGATGGCAGTTTGCATCTAGGGATGATGAGGGACTTCTACCTGGAAAGAAATCCTAGTAGCACAAAGCTTCTGTCGATGCTTATTTCAGGTTTACTTGGTCCTGTGAAAAGCAATTGGATACAAGCTTTGGCAGCTCATCTAGCTCACTTCCTAATCAGAAAGCATTCTGATAGCAACAGTGCAGAAATCAATGGCTTGAACTGTCCGACTCAATGGAGAGAGGAGTCAGTTCATAAGGTGACAGAATTTAATGACGTGCTGAGGGAAAGGGATGTGTACTCAAAAATAAAACATTATATATTGGTGATACTCCTGGGTGCCTTCACATTAACGCTTGGAAATTGTAGAATATTCTTCTAGTCTGAGCATAAATGGATTCCCTGAAATTATTTATCATTTAACAGTTTTGTCATTTAGATATTATATTATATCCTTGATGTTTTATATTTATGTACAGAATGTTAAACATTCATGAGTTGATTTTCCTATTATTTGTGAACTTTTAAGTGTACTAATCTTTTTTAGACTTTCGTTGGAAAATTCATTTACAGTAACACAGATCAATGCAAACAAGACACATGGGGTCAATTCTGCAGTCTTGTTACAGTGCTCAGAGCACTGTTCTTTCTCCATGATGTGTATTACATGTCCAAATTTGTAAAATCAAGCTAAATAAATTACTGCGATACCCTGTGCACATTTCTATCCTATGACCAATGGTGGAAGTTGGATTTTTAGAATAATTGAAAGGTTGATGGGAAAAGTTAATGGGATGTAGCCACTTAAAGGCAAGTGATTGCGTGGGGTGGGGGAACAGAGCAAAAAGACATGCCAGCCAAGCTCAATGCTATGCATGGTATCTGCATGATCTAGAAACAGATGTGAGAGACAACAGCTTATCTTATGGAATTAGCAAAGTATGATTCCCCAACAGAACCAGTATCATGTACATGCCCCATATTCCATGCCACAAATGTTACCCACCAACTGGTTCCACATTTATTACCTACGTTAAGTCTTCACTCAATCTTGCAGATCTTTCATTGCATTCAGACATACTCACACTTCAGCTCAGTACATACTCCCAAGTTGAAACTTACAGTGGAAAGACTTTGCAACATACCCATCTTCCAACTGATTCACACATTAAGCATTGTAACACAAACATGATAATTCAGGACAGGAATTTAGGTTGTTAATATTGAATTTAGTAGTGGCCTTTGGGACTTTGAGAAATATGGTAGTATAGTGATATTAGGTATAACTAACATAACTATCTTATGTTATTCATTGGGTAAGTAGATCACAGTGCAGGCCATGGTGACAAGCTATGGTGACTGATACATTAATCATTTGCTTGATACAGACATTAGCAGCACATTCATTAATACTATGGCGGTGGATGGACATAGGCTTTACAGTTGAGAACCAACCACTGATCTAGCTGACCCAGTGTTACAAGCTGGTTACAATGCCCTTAAGTGTAGATGGTGGAGCCCTATAATTGTCTTGTTGCTGGTTCTCTACAAGCTGAGGCAATCATCAACAGTCACTGGCAGATATGTTTGCTAAGGTCCACAGATACATTGGTGTTTGCTAACCTTCCTGCCATGCTTTCTATTTCCCAACCATGTCGGTGAAGCACTCTAAAATGAAGCTTTACCTTATGCAGCAAATAATAATCATCAAATTGACGAGCCTTTGATGAAGCTAAGGCAAATGAAATTTCAAGACTCAAAGTTTAGCAGATCATTACAATTTTGTAGAAAACAAATATTGGGCTAATTCTTCCAATTCCAAGACTGTCCTGTGCCCACGTTGCAATTGCTCTGCCAGTGCATTACCGCAGAATTGGCCCCAGTGAACATACATGGAAAAATATCATCCTTCAAAAAGGCATTCTTTGATTAGTTCAACCCAGGGAGATCAACATGGTTACATGACCACACTGCTGCTAGATGTCCTCAGTTTTAGGCTCTCCAACCAGAAACTGATTTAACTGACAAATTAAGGATGCTTGTGTACTGTGGTTGCAGTAATCTGCAGTAAAAGAAACTTACTTCCTTAGACTACCATTACCTGATCCACTGTGCACTGCTTCCTTCAGGATTTTTAATTCACTGTGAAACTCAGCAACTAGAGAACTCTTGCAGAGTGGTCTTGGAATGAACCGACGCTCGAGCTGGTCCACAATGTGATGCCTTGCAGTCATTTCTTCATGATTTTCTGCTGGTTGACTTAACAGCTGGAATGATTCCAGAGAGGAAGAAAAGTACAAATGTCTTTGATGAAATACTTGTTGGTATCTTTCCTAGTTAAGTGTTATATCTGTAACCCTTTTTCAGGCTCTCGTTGAAGAATAACTATTTTCAATTCAGGTGCAAGCAGATGATACTGAACTCTGACAAAGTTCTTGAAAATGGCTACAGAGTTGTGCAAGCTCATTAAGCTTTTAGTTATTTCTTCCTACCTTCAAAGAATGCTAGAGTTTGAATTTAAAAAGCCTGTACGTAAAAGCCTAGAAGGAACAGTGCATTGCAGTTTCCTCAGCTGCTGGTTTCATAAGAAGGTCCACAAACAAACTTTTTTGACTCACTAAACAAAGAAATTTAGCTCTTGGCAAAGGCAACATTCGCACTGGGAGTTTACGAATTTGTGGGTAAAAGGTACTAATAGTTATAGATTTTAGAACCAGTGTTTAAGAGAACACATTTGTTGAATCATATGTAAAGATGTGATAATGGAAGCAGTTCAAGGAGGAGAGGAAGCTGTGACAAATGATTTCAGATGCTAGTTAATAGATGCTTTTTGAGCAGATTCAGTTTTGAATGGCTGCAATATTGGGAAACATAGGCATCACAGAACTGCAGGGCAAAATGCCAGTCAACAGGTAGCAAGAGAAACAATCACCATATTGTAATCTGGTTAATAGTCACCTTGGTTTGACCAGAGTTTCCATTTAGTTTAGTTTACTTGGCACATTTTGGTTGAAGTCAATGCAACTGCTGCTAAAGGTCATAACATTTTAAATATATTTTACATTCAGCAAAACTGAAGCTTCTAGAACTACTGCAGCATTTTTAGAGTACTGGGTTGGAAGATAGGTCCATGTACAAAATCAAATCATGCTTCCAGCCATGGTTAGCAGTTTTGTTAACTGTACTTGTTTGCAGACCTACAGGCTATAAAAATTAAACTGGTCTCTAGAGGTCAATTAACTAAGAAATTTAAACTGTGATTTTTGCTTTTATTTATCAAAAAACAGACTAATGTATCTGCATGCAATTGATTCGTTTTACACATTTTCACTTTTCATGCAAATTTCAGTAATTTAAAATCAGATTATTCAGAGGTGGAGAATCTACACATTTAAAAAATGCATTTTTGTGATAAACTTATTTTCAACAGTTTTCAACAAATTCTAGCAACTTTTGAAGATAGATGGAAACATTTTAAAGCAAATCTTTTAAACTAAGGATTATGATTTTAAATACTGCTCAATTGCACTGGATTGTGGCAATGTTTGTGTTCATCAAATAAGTTTTTGACACTCAGCGGGAAAAAGAACCTTTCAAAATGAATACAAATTTTGCTGCATTGTCCAGCAGAACCAAATCTAAACTTGAAATCTGTTCACTCTGTGTATGCATATAATAAATAATAATTGAAAACTTTGCAGAACATCCACAGAGTACATGGATTATTTCTGTAGTTGACAAGCTGAGGCAAATTTAAGACATTATTTTTGAAAAATCTGTTTTCAGAAAAATGTTCCAGAATTTTCTTTACCTTACATTGGATGAAAGGTCGCAGAAGAATGAAGATAGGGATTCTGGTTCTCACTATAAAGTCGATGAAATCCCACATCGCTAGACCACCAACCTTCCGCAATGCCATTTCTTTAACTTGCAAACTAAGTTTGTACCATTGACTACCCAAATGCCGCTCAAAGCAGACAAGGATCACCTTTAAAGCTAAAAGGCAAAGGAAAAGGAAAATTGCAAGTATAAAGAAAACTAGGAAGTAAATAATAAGGTTATTACTGATATTTTAATTTTGTCTAACATGTTTTGATACTAGACTAAAATAAAGAAATAAACAGAAACAACTACATCACTTGCGAAAAGCAGCACCGAAAATTGATAAAATTCAGATACATAGATTACTTTTCCGTCACATCAGAACTACTGTGACAGTGCATAGACTAATGTGGTTGTGCATCCAACAACATCCAAGTGAGTACTTTTATCTTGGCCTCTCTAAATTCTAACCAGATCAATTCTCTTGAATACATGAAGAGCTATACAAAAGCCTGGTTCAGCCACATCTGGAGTATTGTGTCCAGTTCTGGTCACCTCATTACAGGAAAGATGTAGAAGCGTTAGAAAAGGTGCAGAGGAGATTTACCAGGATGTTGCCTGGAATGGAGGGAAGGTCTTACGAGGAAAGGTTGAGAGAGCAAGGGCTTTTCTCTTTAGAACGACGAAGGATGAGAGGTGACTTGATAGAGGTGTACAAAATGATCAGCGGTATAGATAGAGTAGACAGCCAGAGACTTTTTCCTAGGGTAGAGGTAGCTTTTATGAGGGGACATAGTTTTAAAGTGAAAGGAGGTAGATATCGGGGAGACGTCAGTGGTAGGGGCGTGGAATGCATTGGCGGAGAGGGTAGTGGAGTCGGCCTCATTAGGGGCATTTAAGCAGCTATTAGATAGGCATATGGATGGTAGTGTAAGATAGCGGTGGAGGTTAGATAGACCTTAGGTTTCGGGTAAAAGTTCGGCACAACATCGTGGGCCGAAGGGCCTGTACAGTGCTGTACTGTTCTATGTTCTATGTTCTACCACTCTATTATTTACACTGCAGAAATGGGGGACTAAATTAGATCACTCCAAAATCTGGAGTAATGAAAACTCAATGAACGGCAAGACACCTGGAAGATCAGAGGAACAGAGGGATCTTGGACTTTTTGTCCATAGATCACTGAGGGTGGCAGGACAGGTTAACAGGGTAGTTAATAAGGTGAACAGGAAACTTGCCTTCATCAGTCGTGGCATAGATTATACAAGTTAGGGAGGTTAGGTTAGGCCACAGCTGGAGTAGCATATGCAGTTCTGGTCATCACATTATAGGAAGGAGGTGGTGCTGAGGAGATTCACCAAGATGTTGCCTGGTTTGGAAAATTTCAACTATGAACAGATGTTGGATAAGTTTGGGTTGGAGCTTTGGAGCAGAAAAGGTTGGAGGGGTTGGGGACAGGGGAATGAGGAGGAGGGGTGTGACCTGATAGATGTGTTTAAGATTATGAGGAGCATAGAACAATGCAGCACAGGAACAGGCCCTTCAGCCCACTTTACCTGTGCCAAGCACGATGCCATTCAAAACTAATCCCATCTGCTTGCACATGGTCCATGTCCCTTTGTTCCCCACCTGTTCATAAGTCTTTCTAATTGCCTCTTAAACGTTGTTATTGTATCTGCTTCTGCCACCTTCCCTGCTAGTATGTTCTGGGCATCTACCACCCACTGTGTAAAAAGACTTGCCTTGTACATCTCTTTAAACTTGCCCCTACTCTCTTAAACTTATTTCCTCAAGTATTTGACATTTCCACCCTGGAAGAAAGACACTGACTATTTACCCTATCCATGCCTCTCAATTTTATATGCTTCGATCAGGTAACACCTCAGCTTCTGACACTCGAGCAAAAATAATCCAAGTTTGTCTGACCTCATAGCTTATACACTCTAAACCAGCCAAAATCCTAGGAAACCTCTTTTGCAGGATCTCCAAAGCCTCTATATTCTTCCTATACTATGGTGATCAGAATTGCACACAATATTCCAAATGTGGCCGAACTAAAGTCTTGTACAGCTGCAACATGACTTGCTAACTTTTACACTCAATGCGCTGTCCAATGAAGACAAGCTTGACTGTACACCTCCTTTAGCACTTTATTCATCTTTCAGGGGGCTGTGGATTTCTCTAAATCAATGCTCCTAAGGGTCCTGCCATTTACTGTGTACCTTCTTCTTAAATTTTACCTCCCAAAATGCATCTCCTTACTTGAAAAAACTCCATCTGCCATTATAGCGCCCAACTTTCCAACTGATCTATATCCTGTTGTGTCCCTTGACAACCTCCCTCATTATCCACAACTCCACCAATTTTTGTGTCGTCCGCATACTCATTAATTAGATAACCTATATGTTCACCCAAATCATTTATATATATTAGAAATAACAGAGGTCCCAGTGCTGATTCTTGCAGAACACCACTGGTCACAGATCTCCAGTCCAAAAAGCACCCGTCCACCACAAATTTCTGTCTTTCAAGACCAAGCCAATTTTGTATCCAACTTACCAACTCACCGTGGATCCCATGCAGCTTAATCTCTTAGACCAGCCTACCATGAGGAACCTTGTCAAATGCTTTAGTAAAATACATATAGATAACATCCACTGCCCTACTCTTAATCATCAGCTTTGTTACTTCCTCAAAAAACTCAATCAAATTTGTGAGACAAGACCTCCCCCATACAAAGCCATGCTGACTATCCCTAATAAGTACATCATTTTTTCTAAATGTGAGTAAATCCTGTCCCTAAGAATCTTCTCCAATGATTCCTCCACTACTGATGTAAACTCAACAGCATTTAATTTCCTGGAATTTCCCCATTGCCCTTCTTAAACAAAATAATAACATTGGCTATTCTCAAGTCTTCTGTGACATTGCCTAGGGTTAAAGTGGAATATAAAGATCTTTGTCAAGACCCCAGCAATCTCTGTCCTTGCTCCCCTCAATAACTCAGGGTAGATCCCATCAGGCTCTCAAGACTTATCTTCATTAATGCTTTCCAAGACACCCAACAGCACCTTCTTCTTAATATCAACATGCCCTAGAAAATGAGAATTCCCCTCCCTCTTCTTCACAGCCCCTCTCTTTGGTGAATATCAATGCAAAGTACGCATTAATGACCTCACAACATTTATAAAGTACTTGAATGAGCAGCAGGAAGCTCAGAGGAACAGAGGGATCATGAGGTGCTTGTCCATAGATCCCTGAATGTGGCAGGACAGGTTAACAGGGTAGTTAATAAGGCGTACTTGAATGTGTCATAACATTCAAGGTTATGAGTCTAATGTAAATGGTAGTATATTTTCTGGTGATATAGACTCAATGGGCTGAAGGGCCTCTTCTATACTGTATGATTCTGTGAATGCATAATTAATCCAAGCCCATTCAAAATAATGCAGGCATCAGGTAAACTTCTAATTATAACGATAGTGATGTGCAGCATATTGCTGTTTGTACTGCTGAATAGCTGCATGCTTCGTGCAAGGCTACCACCATTTAAAGATATCTTGTATTACTTAGCAGTGTACTTCCTGCTGGTACAGCAAGCCTGAGATGTTAATGTCACTGGTGTGTGCCTTGATTCTGAACAGTCACAGTGTTGAATGAGGCCCCTGCAGGGGCAGTGGCAAGTGCAAGCATTACTTAAAGCCCAGTGTGCACACTTCAAGGCATGGTGTGTTCTGGCTGCAGTAGAGCTGGGATCGGTTACAGGAGAGTTGAAGACCAGGACGAGTCCTCAGAATTAATGCAACAAGTATTCAGGTACCGTACTGGAGACCTCAGTACAAAGGATGCACAGAAGAAGAGATATCGTCTTTCTTTAGTGGGAATGCCTACACTAAATGGACTGTTATGGTACAAGGAGACACCTCACTAGCAATTTCAAGGGCAGTTAGGGATGGATAATAAATGCTGGTCTTGCCAGTGAAGCCCACATACCATGAATGCCTAAAAACAAAATACACTACACATCCATCACTTACCTATCAACCTTTCATTAATCATGAATTATACCTCATTCAGAGCCTCACCCGAATGTACTCAGCACCACCGTAATCCTTACTATCACATCCACAATTTGCAAATCATGACCACACCTATTGGCACACAGAATTATTACAGAATCGTTACAGAGCAGAAGGACAATATTCAGCCGTCATACCTGCACTGATTCTATTGCTTAGTGCCAATCTCCTGCCTTTTCCCCATATTCCTGCATACCGCTTCCAACAAAATAACCACCCAATGCCCCTCTTGGATGCTTCAATTGAACCAGCCTCCACCAAAGTTCCAGGCAGTGCACTCCAGATCTAACTCATTTCCTGTGTAAAAAAGATTTTGCTCACATGAGATTTTGCTGCTTTTGCAATTCACTTTCAATCGGCGCCTTTTCCTTTTCAAAGGACAGTTTCAATGCTTTCAGATGATATGAACTTTGGAAGCATTAAAATGTGAGAAGGGTGGTATTGAACACCAAAAGGATGCAGACAAATTGGTGGAGTGGGCAAATGAAATTCAATGCAGAGAAATGTGAGGTGATGCATTTTGGTAGGAAGAACATCAACTGACAAAACGAAGTAGGGATAAACTCATAAGGAATGCATGAGCAGATGGACCTCGGTGTCCATGTGTATAGATTATTGTTGGACAGGTGAAGAGAGTAATTAATAAGGCATACAGTATCCTTGGATTTATTATTAATAGCATTGAGTACAAGAGCAAGGAGGTTACGATGAATTGTATAAAGCACTTGTTAAAGTTGAGCTGTATAGTTCTGGGTGCCATGCCACAGAAGGGATAGGAACACATTGGAGAATGTACAGTATTGGTTTAGAAGAATGGATCTAGAGATGAGAAATTTCTGTTATGAGGAAAGACTGGAGAAGTTTAACAGTTCTTCTTTGAGAGACAGAGGATACTATGAGTTCTGACAGAAAATTTCAAAATCTGGATAAAGTAGATCAGGAGAAACTGTGTTCCCACTCACAGAAGGATTGAGAAGGAGAAGCTGTTACATCAATTCTAATAAAATAATCTTCCTGAAAGATACCCTTTCACCATTACTCTGTTTCATTTTACTGAACCAACTTATAGCCATGTTGCTACTGTCCCCTTCATTCTCTGAAGTTTAGCTTTTTTCATATGTCTATTGCGTGGCATGTTATCTAAACATCTTCTGGAGGTTCATGTCCATTGTATCAAATATGTTACCATCATTGACCCTTTCTATGACCTCTTTAATAAAACTCCAGCAAGTTTGATAAACATAATTTAATCTTTTGAAACCCATGCTAGCCCTTTCCAATCAACCAACCTTTTTCTGTACGATTCCTAATTTTATCCTTAAAAGTGATTCCTAGAAGCTATCCCACCACTGATTTTAAGTGAACTGGTAGTGTCCGAGCTTATCCTTAGAACCTAGGGAAGAATGAAAGATTGTGGCCAGTGGCCCTGCAAATTTCATTCACGTTCTTCAATATCATTGGATGCATCCCATCTGGTTCTGGTGTCTTGTCAATTTTAAGTACCAACAATCTATCAAACACTTCCTACTTATCAATTTGGAACCCTTCCAGTAACAGAGTTACTCCCTCCGTCACCATGGTCTGCATTTCATCCATCTTATTGGTCAAGACAAATGTAAAATATTAATTTGATTCCTCAGCCATACCCTCTGCTTCTATGTCTAATTTTATTTTGGTTCTTAATCAGCCCTACGCCTCCTTTTAGCAGCTTTTTGCTACTAATATGACAATGACTTTGGGATTCCCCATTATGTTAGCCATCAGCCTTTTCTCACAATCTTTCTTTATTCTCTAATATGCTTTCTCTCCTACCCTCTGAACCTTCAAAAGTCATCTTGCTTCTTAATTATACTTGTGACCTGGCATGTGTTAAAACATACATTTTCTTCTTTAATTCTTACCTTCTTGTTCAGCCAGGGAGTTCTACATTTGTTGTCCTTGCTTTCCCCTTTGAAGCAATACAGTTTGATGTGCCTGAACTGTTAAAATTTTAAAGGTAGCACATTGTTCAGCCACAGATTTTTCTGCCAAGCTTTGGTCCCAGCCTTTCCACCCAGCTCCATCCTGTCCCACTAAAGACAGCTCTTCCCCAGTTAATTATTCTTATTGTGGATTGCCTATTGTTCTTATCCTAAATCTCATGATACAATGATCACTGTCTCCTAAATGATCCCCCATTGACACTTGATCTATTTGGTTCATTCAATTTTCAAAAACCAGATCTAATAATGCATTGTTTTCTGTGAGACTGGACACATCTTGCTGCTGGAAATTTTCCTGAACATAGTCAAGGAACATTTGCCTCCTTTCTGCCACTATTGCAATCCATATTCAAATAAAGTCCCCATTCTATAATGTTGGCATTTCTTTGCAATTTCCCTGCAGATTTGTTCTTCTACATCCTTCCCACTAATTGGCCATCTATAGACTAGACGAAGAGTTTTGTCCTTAGCTCTAGCCAAATTCATTCTGTCCTTGCACTATGATATCTTCTTTCTCCAGCACACCAACAGTTTCACCAATACTGCTACCCACTCCTCCTTTTCTATTTTTGTGAAATCTTGGACTCAGGAATATTTAACACCAGCGTGCCCTTCCTTAAATTATGTCTCATCATTGTAACAAACTTCCACAAGGCAATTTGGGCACATAACTCCCCATTCAGACACTGCACAAGGAAAAGTTTCATATCTGAATTCTTCATTCTCAGCCTCTGGTACCTCCCAGTACTTTTGTATGTTGTTAAATCTTCCATGAGTATTCACCTACTGAATCCCTCTCAAGCTCCACATATGCAATCAAACATGCTTTTCCTCTACCATGGATCCTCTGTGAGAAAATGGCAATTAATCCCACATTCTTCTTTCAGAATATCCTAATTTAGTCATAAGTTTCAATCCCTTTCATTTGTTTCAAGGTCATTTGTATCAGGTCAAAACTAATATTCTGTGACCTATTGCTGATGATAAAAGGCTCTTCAACATTACCTAAGTAAGCTGCCTGACTTGTGGATTCTGCCAAGCCTTCCCTGCGAAGATCCTTCCCAGCATCCCCAGGGGTGGAGCAGTGGGCTGGAGAATTTTCCAACATGAAGTTCTTGCTGCGGGAAGTGCTGATGATTCGTGGCGGAAGGAGAATATTGATTACTGTTTGTAACAGCAGAAAAACCTCAGGCTGCTCCAAATTTGGACTATCTGGATCACAAAGGAAGAATATCATTGGAAAAAAAAAACTTACACCAATCTGACAGATGCTTTGACAGTGAGAGAAGATTCACATTACCAGTGTCGTTTCAACTCAGAAAGCCACCAGTACAACATTTACTTTGCTATCAAACTGCGAATAGATACATTTCAGAAGAGAATGGCTCCCCATCTCCTCAATATCATTTTACGTTGCCTTCAATCCTTCAAGCTGATCTCATACAGCTTGGAGGGTGTTTGACTTGAACCCCCAGATCTTTGTACAACCTCAATATTAACATTAACAAACAGGAACAATGACTTGGGTTTTCATGGAGTCGGAGAGACTTGGTGAAAATGGAGACCAGGGTTTGATTCTGACATTCCAACCCCACTTGCCAGTGTTTCAGATTTTCACCTGAACATTTTCCGGCTGCGGATTGGTTTGGGTTATTAGCGCACCCCTCCACTCCTGATCTGGTTGGCTCCATTTCAGATGTTGGCACTTCCAAGTCCTCCGGGATTTTCACGGAACAGGACCAACTTTTTAGTTATGGCACCTCAAGGGATGTCATGAACAATAATCTGCAGAAGAGAACCTTTTGAAAGCAAAGTTCAGAAACCTTATCCATGCCCAAGTGTGACTCCCTTACCCTTCATAGCTTCTCATTCTGACATGGCATTCATCTTTGCATGTCCTCCATGCCCTGTATCCCAAGATGTGTCCTTTACTTGACCCCTATATGGCCCCTCATTCTTGTGCTCAATCACCTACTGTACACTGCATATAAGCAATGAACACTATCAGGACAATATAGCTTGTTAAAAAATGACTTTAAGGACAGTAATTCATTGAAAACATTCTATTGTCTTAAAAACAACCTCATTTTCACTATAGGCAAATAAATTTATCAATCATCCATAACTTGTAAGATACCAAGAGCAGAAACTGGGATCACTTGGAACTTCTACCTTGTACAAATAAGCATTATGTGATTGACAGAAGAGGTCAGGAATCCAGAGATATCAATCAAGCAATGTTTACCGCAGGGTACAGCTGTTTCAACAGGCTAATGAACTCTCTGCTAATCTTCATTATACATTCTTGGCTAGAAACTCAGACATCCATTTAAATGGAAGTTGCCAGATCAACCAAAAGTGGGAAAGTCTGACAAGGTTTAATGTACAGGCCCTTAACTTGAATTGCAATGCTCTCTGACTGTTGGGACTGGGCTGTTATTGATGCATTTAACAACACTTTCTACAATTACAAACCACCTTTTTTAGGTGTTACTTTGGATTAAAATTTAGTTTACCTTCTTATTATTAAAAATAATGTTTATATATCCAACATGTTTACGGTGTTTATTGTAGAAACAGAAGGTACGCTTTAAGAAAACAAAGCCAGTCAAAAATCACAACCTTTTTTTATTATAAATATGTTATCTAGCAATTCCTTGGAGTTTTGTTGATAGAAAATTATCGTGTAACTTGCAGCAAAGTTTCTTTCTCTGATATGTGTGATTTCTTTTCCATTTCCAAACTGAAAGGAGCAAGATGTGCAAAAGTAACAATGCTTCTTTTAGATAAAGTAACAGACCTTTGCTTCCCGTTCCAACTGTTAGCACAAACGGTATCAGAAGATTCAGGAGCATGCCTTCCCTTCTTTCTTGATTCGTAAATGGGGAAATCACATGACTCAATGGGAAGTCTTCTTTCAAAGCCTTTCATGAGGAAAAAGAAAGTTGAATTAGAATATTTTAAAATTCGAACAGCTCTATAACATACCTGACAGTTCTAAAGAAGTAACATTGGACTCAAAATGTTAACTCTGTTTCGCTCTCCACAGATGCTTCCAGAACTGTCAGGTTTCTCCATTTCAGATTTCCACCAAACACAGTATTTTGCTTAAAAGAATAAAAAGGAAGCAGGATTACTCTTGTGATGCAGTGGTAGTGGATCCACATCGGGGCTCGGAGGGCCGGGTGCAAGTCCTGCCTACTCTTGAGGTGTGTCATTGCCCATCTGAAAAGGTTGATTAGAAAATATCTGAAAAGGGGCAGTGCCATGGTTGGAAACATTTTGTGATCTAGTAAGAAACCTAATGGTAGTTGAATTTAACTTAGGACTTTACTGACAAAAATTCACTGGAGATAAAGCAATGGTTGAGATAGCTAGATTGTGGTTTTCTGTCACCCCTTTATTGAAATCAAACGAGGCAATTGCAACCTAACTCATGCAGTGGAAAATTGATAGACTGGATCAAGCGCCCATTTTACTTTCTATTGAAAAAGTATGATGTTGGAAATCTGGAACAAAAACAGAAAATGCTGGAAAATCTCAGCAGGTCTGGCAGCATCTTTGGAGAGAAATCACAGTGAATGTTTTGGGTCCAGTGACCCTTCTACAGAAATAGGTCCAGGTCTGAAGAAGGATCACTGGACTCAAAACATTAATTCTGATTTCTCTCCATAGATGCTGTCAGACCGGCTGAGCTTTTCCAGCAATTTCTGTTTTTGTTGCTTTCTATTGACTTCAATGGAAAGTAAAATTAGACAGAGTATAAAACAGGCCATTTTTTCATGGATAAATTCATCAAGAGCTGTTTGTCCACCAAAACTTTTTTTTAAGAAGTTAACTGCAGTCATGACAGAGGCTTTTAATATTTGATATCTTCCAACATTACTAACTGGCTGAGTAAAATGGTTTTATTTCAGCTTTACCACAAGCACAGTACTTTTTAAAACAACATTAGATGGATATTTGTGTTCCAGTTAATTTTCTATTTCTCAAGAGTCCTCACAGAATTCACCATTAGCTCAATATTTTTGGACTCAAAATTAAATAAAACATTTAACAAAAATACACTTTACATTCATTCAACTGATTTCTCCACTTCGAGGTGTGTGGATATTTACCTTGAAAATTTCTGTTAAAAAAGACTCATACCATTGAACTGAAATATCCAAGGAACTGTTAGGACGTGAGATAACAAGGTGTAGAGCTGGATGAACACAGCAGGCCAAGCAGCATCAGAGGAGCAGGAAGGCTGATGTTTCGGGCCGAGACCCTTCTTCAGAAATGGGGGAGGGGAAGGGGGTTCTGAAATAAATAGGGAGAGAGGGGGAGGCGGATAGAAGATGGATAGAGGAGAAGATAGGTGGAGAGGAGACAGACAGGTCAAAGAGGTGGGGATGGAGCCAGTAAAGGTGAGTGTAGGTGGGGAGGTAGGGAGGAGACAGGTCAGTCCAGGGAGGACGGACAGGTCAAGGGGGCGGGATGAGGTTAGTCGGTAGGAGATGGGGGTGGGGCTTGAGGTGTGAGGAGGGGATAGGCAGGAGAAAGGACAAGTTAGGGAGGCGGGTATGAGCTGGGCTGGTTTTGGGATGCGGTAGGGGGAGGGGAGATTTTGAAGCTAGTGAAGTCTACATTGATACCATTGGGCTGCAGGGTTCCCAAGCAGAATATGAGTTGCTGTTTCTGCAACCTTCATTATGGCGGAAGTGAAGGATGATGTGTTGGATCCGGAGGTTGGTGGGGTGGAACGTGAGGACGAGGGGGATTCTGTTTTGGTTGTTATCGCGGGGAGGGGGTGTGAGGGATGAGTTGCGGGAAATGCGGGAGACACAGTTGAGGGCGTTCTCAACCACTGAGGGGCGGAAGTTGTGGACACTTCTGCCATCTGCAATCCGACCCCACCACCAAAGACATTTTTCCCTCCCCACCGTTATCTGCTTTCCAGAGGGACCGCTCTCTCCGTGACTCCCTTGCAACTCCACACTCCCCTCCAGCCCCACCTCACCCGGCACTTTTCCCTGCAACCGCAGGAAGTGCTACACCTGACCCTACACCTCCTCCCTCACCCCCATCCCAGGCCCCAAGAAGACTTTCCACATCAAGCAGATGTTCACCTGCACGTCTGCCAATGTGGTATACTGCATCCGCTGTTCCCGTTGTGGCCTCCTCTACATCGTCAGCCTTCCTGCTCCTCTGATGCTGCTTGGCCTGCTGTGTTCATCCAGCTCCACACCTTGTTATCTCAGATTCTCCAGCATCTGCAGTTCCTACTATCTCTGAAACAACTGTTAGGACATGTATGTGTCTATATAATGTTTTGATTTGATTGTCTAATAATTTTGTTCCTGCCTATAGAAAATACTACTCAGGGAGGTGAAATTTACGTTAGGTTCTTCCAATTTTCCAGTTGTAACCTTGGTGGAAGCTTGGGGAAACTGACTAAATCTGTATTTGTGCCATATCTCCAGAGTTTCTCTTGCAGTTCTTGGGAATTGAGAGATTGGGAGACTTTTCTCCCCTGCCTTGTGAAACCCCTTCTTCCCATCCAGCAACCAGGAAGCTTCACCTTCATGACTTTAAGCAACAAAACACGAATACCTGAATCTGTAACGCGACGAGCCGAACGACAGCTGTGCTGAAAGGTAGAGGCGGAGAAAGATATGGGCTTAAGTGTAGAAGAGGCAGACCATCGGCAACACTGGAAGGTCCAACCACACCCATTACCTGTAAGTAAGAAATGAAAGAACTCATTTGTCCTTGTAATGATTCAGATAGGCAACCTTTCTTAAAATGTCTTGCTAATTTTGTTTAATCCTTTTCACTAACCAACCAAAAATCTGGGCGTGTATTCTTTACATATTTATTTCTGATAGGATAATTGGAAAGTAAGCAGTTGACCACCTTATTTCTTGATCAGGCTTACACGTATGAAATTATTTAACTCACTTCTAAACGTACTGAAGTTTCCTTTTCGCAGTCCACTGTCAAGATTTAGACATAAACGAGGCTGCCATGTGCCTCGGCTAAAGGATTAGCTGGACCAGACAAATCAGCTAGAATCGATTGCTGGTGCTGAGGACACTATAACTTGTCTCAGCAACCTGATATTAAGGAGGAGGATTTCCTGCTTTTGTTCATTATCCAGTGACCCTGGTTGTAAACGATTAGAGGTTAGATGAGTCAATGCATTGAACAAACAGGAGCGAAAAGTTTGGGAATTATGGAGGGAGAAATAAAAAAAAAGATTGTAAGTACCTGAGAGGAAATGGGTTACAGCCATGGTAGCACCATTATAAATTTTCTCCCTCTTCCCTCTCAAGTGGATGACGACTCTGACTGGATTTGGATTCTGCGGCAGTCAATTAACTTATTTTTAAAGGCTATTAAGATGTTCAGCTACTGCTGCCTGAAAAGCCAGTGGTGACAATGCCAAGGCCCTTTCTTTTCTGTGAAGCCGACCAGTCTGTCTGCTGCATACCTTTGTAGTTCCTTAGCGAAGGGTGTTTCCCATTTCTGATGGCAAATCAGAACTGATCAGCTCTCCAGAGCCAGCAGTGCCACCAGGAGCAACGGGCAGTGCTGGCACTTCAGTAGACACTAAGAGGAGGATCATTGGGGAGCCCCAGAATGGAACTAAGTGAGTCGGGTCCAATCATATATGCCCTGGCAGAAATGAGTCGGTGTAAAAATAAGGAAGGTGTCTTCGTGGAGGGTCAGCCTTGATGTCAGTGGGTCCCTCAGTTTGGCATAGGGTGCCCAAGAAAGGGAGTACACTCTTAATGCTGCAGTTACATCTGCCGTGATGCTCCATGTGCTTGTTTGCACCCACATGCCATTGGAGTTAAGACAGGAGCTGTGACTGAAGCCCATAAGTAGCCCATACGTGGCCATTTAAAGCTCTTAACTGGCCTTCAGGGGGGAAATTCATTCTCAATTCTGATTACCCAGGGCCTAATGGGGAGAAGTCAAGAAAGGGATGTGCTCTCAAACCCAAGTCTTACACAGGACCCCTGACCTCCCACACCACCCCTGGAACAGGATGTTAAATTCCACTTCACTTAGATACACTTGGATTTCCAGCAAGCGTAATGCAATGACAATCAGGAGCACTGAGCATGCATGGATTCTTCCTCCTCTTTCTGGATTGAGACCAATCATAGTGCTATAGTATTCACTGGGACAAGAATCTCAGACTTTGGTCTGAATTTTCATAATGATAGAGAGGGCCTCCAGCCTAGACAAAATGGTGCCAGTGACCTGATTTAGAAGCCCACCATGGAACAGGACGCCTATGATTTCTGCCAAGGACTGGGTGGGGGTCGAAGCACAACTGTGTGGTTAGAGGAAGCAACTGTGTAGGTTAAAGTACATGCTCACTCAAAACTGTTCCAAGTTTTGCTAATGGGATATCCAAACATGGCTGATTAGCTTTAAACATTTCAGGAAATAGTCCAAAGGTGCTGGAGTTCTTTGAAGAGGCTGGGCATACTTGTGAAAAAGTATGGTGGAACAACTGGCTGAGGTAAGATGCCCTCTGGGAAAGATCACGTACCCTTGAGATTGTCAAAAGTAGTTGCTAAACAACTGTGAATAAAAAGAAAATTAATTAACTCATTGGAACCATCAAGCTCATTTGTGCTGTATAAGTGGTTCACAACCTGTCATGAAAGTGGAGTTTCTGTCTATTTATAGTATCAGTGTCTAATTGCTTATAAAGTCCTTGAAGTGGGCATTATGCATGGAAATTCTTGCATTAATTAGGAATTAAATAGTTGAAGGTAATTAAATGTAGTGAGACAGTTTTAATCAGTGGGAAGGTGTTTTCTCCCTCAAGTGATTCATCAATAGACATGTAAGAATATTATGTATTCTACTTCATCCCTCTCTTGGTAAATACTGGGTTGTACTAACATAGAAGATATATGGGCAGAGAGGGGTTGATGGGGTCAACAGTCAGCATAAGTTGGGGATAAGTTGGTTCAATGGCTATGGAGGTGGGTAGAGGGGCATAATTTGACATGGGGGGAATGAGCAGTAGGTGGCATGTGACAGCATGAGTTGTCATGAATGGGAGAAGAAGAATGTGTCGGAGTGAGGGGAGTGGCACCGAGATATGTTGGTAATGATATTATTGCACGAAGAATCAAGAGGCCCTGGTGAATGTTCTCGGGACGTAGGTACAAAATCCAGTGCATGGCTAGTCAAAATTACATTTACCTAATAACAGACGGAATTATAAAATTAGTCTCATTATGGTGACCATGACAACTATTATCAATTATTGTGATGATACTGTAGCTTTAAGAGTGATATTTTGTCCTGGTTTGTTTTTCATGAAAGTTACAACAGAGGTGCTGAATAGTCTGCTCCAAAGCAAAGAAAGTAAACAGCTTGTGAGGCCTTGGGGTTTTTTTTTAAAGTTAGAACAATAGAATGGGTGGGAGCAAGCTCCCACAGAACCAGGGTTTTTTTTTAGTTTTAGTCTTTAGTAGCAGTCACTGGGCTCATGAAGCTATAAGTGGAAGCTCTTATTCCATTCTCTGTTACAGCTAAAAGCTGGGGTTCTCTTCCTGCTGCTGGAATTGCATGTGAGACAATCCTTTTTATTGAATGTGCCTTTGCCAAAAGTGTATTTATGGCACGTTGCTATATTGGAATAGTTAATTAGTAGTAATTAATATATATTATCTTGCTATGCATTTCAATAGAGTTACTGTTAAGCCAATTATTTCATTTTTATTGTGCCTGTACTTTAATTATAGTGTATGAATAAGGTGTTTTGTTTCAAGCCTGGTGGTTTGACCAATCAAATTGCATCCAGAATACAACACCTTACACTTACCTTTAAAATAAGAAAACATTCGGGTCTAGGCTGTCTTCTTAACTTATTTTCAGAGGGCTTGGCCTGGTCCATAACATGTTGTAAAAAAAACAATTTAGTTCAGTGTTGTCTTTCTGGCTTACGTGACTCCAGACCATGGTTGACTCTTAATAGTCCTCTGAACTCACTGAGCAAGCCGTTCCGTTCAAGAGAGATTGCAAGTTAAGTAACAAATGCTGACCTCTCCAACATTTGTTTGTTTCCTTGATATGCTACTGTACAGAACTGAACTGTGTTTTTGACCAGGTTTTTTTTGTGAATAAAGTATATTTTTGAAAGCAAATTTAATGCTGGCCTTTCTGATGATTCCCATATCCCATGAAGGGGTAACAACAATTGAAGAGCTCTTTTGACATGGAAAGATAATATTGAAGTTTGACAGGGATTGGTTAAATTTCACTGCTTCCCAGCTACTCACCAAATTGACACAAACATTAATCAATGACCTGAGATGTGGCAGGAATGAAATGATTGGCTGCCTTTGCAGGGTGACACAAATGCCTTCAATTAAACTGCTCGCAGCTTCCCACTCCACCTGGCGCCTGCAGAAACATTAAAAATCAACCAGAATCTGACAAAATATTCCAATGTTTATGTACAATTATGCCATGTACAACTTTAACCATAAATTTTACTAGTCTTGCATCTAACAAATCTGTCACTTTTCCACAGCTACAAAATATATGTAAATTGTTGCCTCCAATTGGCTACAATATAATTTTCTAACAAAATCAAATCAAAATGCATTAATCAATTGAAAAAATATAAGAGATAGAAAGTTATTTCCTGCTGGCTTTTCCTGCCGTTTGACATCCCAGCCTTTCAAATTGAAACCTGATCTGCAGACACATCTTCACTGAACAACAGAAGTTAACAGAACTTCAGAATGTGTGGACTTAAAACTCTTCTCACAGAAAACCCATTTCGTACTCTTGCAGACTCCTTGAAAAATTGATCAAGATGTAAACTACCTTGTCACTGTTTAATGTATCAGAGTACATCTTAATATAAAATCTTCTGCTGAGAAGAAATACTTTGTTGGGGAAGACATACTGTGGAGTAGGCAGGCGTTAGTAAAGGACACTGGCAATGTGTGTTCACAGTAACATCCTGGCATGCAGAGTAAAGGGCTACCACCTAAGCGTGTACATAGGAAGCTATGTTACTGCCAATGCAAAAACTACACGATGACAGGCATGATAATGATGAGACACTAGCTTAGACCTTGTGTAGCTGTTTTTAGTTAGCTTGGTGTTAATAAATAGTTGTTCAAAAATATCCAAGAGTCTAGCTATATCTTTACTTTAGAGCAAGGCCGCACAAACATCTCCTAGAACCCAACCCAACGATATTAGCCAATGGTACCGGTGAGCAGGGTTGAAACAGCTTAATGACCTAGGCAGCGCTCAAATTAGTGGAATTGGTGAAATCTTGTAATCTCCCACACAGTGCAGGGAAAAGCTCTGAAATGGCATATTTGGAGAAAGAGATTCACCGACTATAAGAATGTCCCAGCATTAGTGACAACAAAGATTAAGTCAGGACATTCTTGCATGCTGCATTGTGGGTAACATGCTTACAAGGCAAGCGGTAAGCAAAAAGGACATAATTGGCAGATTCGATTCTTATTTTAGTGTTTGACACAACATTATAGTTAAACAAAATTTAACAGGAGGAATCAACCTTGGAATACCTCAAATAGGTCATTTAGAATCTCTTACATTTATTGGATAATTGTAGTAATGATTATTTATTGATTTTTATGACTTGTGTATAATATAGGTCTCCTGTTTCAAGGTAGGATATTGGAAGCAGTTCAGAGGTTGTCTACTGGACTAATACCTTGTCTTGTGAGAAAAGGTTAGTAAGGATGGCTTCCATCTGCTGGAATTTAAAGATGTAAGCAGCAACTTGGTTGAAATTTTAGATCCTGAGGTGGATTCGCAGATTGGATGTGGAAAGGATTTCTCTTGTAATCTGGAATGAGGGAGTCACCCAAATAATATGAAACTGAGGATTTTTTTTTTCGCTCAGGGGGTTAGCAGTCTTTGGATCTCTTCTTGAAAAGGCAATGGAAGCAGAGTCTTTGAATCTTTGTAAGACAGTGGAAGATAAAGTGTTTGGTAAGCATGGGTTGAAAGGTTCAAAAACAAAGTTCCTGGAAAAGCTCAGCAGGTCTGGCAGCATCTGTGGAGGAGAAAACAGAGTTATGGGTTGAAAGGTTATCTGGGACACGTAGGGAATGCAGATTTGAGGTTCCAATCAGATCAGCCATGATCTTATTGAATGATAGAACAAGGTTCATAAGGTCAAAGGCCTATTAATGCTCCTAACTCATATGTTCACAGGTATGCTAATATTTATATATACAAAATGCTAAAAGATGATTTGATCAGAGGGGGAAGTAGTGGTTTGGTTTTAGGTTCAACTCTTAAATTTGACACAACCTAGGGAAGAATTTAACATTGATTAAAGCAGTGTATTTGGCTAGACACTTCTTGGATTGCAGTTCAAGTTTGAAACTGATTGAGAGCCATTTTTAACTTTGTTAAAGACAAAGGCAATCACTAAGGTTCTGCTTAGGAGCTGATTATTCAGATAGAGGCTAATGTGATGATACCATCCCTGCATATGTTCAGTGGAAATATCCAGCTACTGCTGACACATTATTGACAATACCCACTGACTATCCATGCCAGGATGAAATTCATCAAGGAAATTGAAGATTTTCGTTAGCTAAGCACTGAATACCTGCACGTGACTGCAATAAAGATGCAGGAAATTAGGCAGGGACAGATACAGGATGAGAAATGTGCACAGAATTAGACGTGTTGTCACAACAGAGGGTCAGCACATTGTGAGACAACATTTTGAGCAGTGTAGATAGCTTAGCAGTCACTGCTGACCTCTTGGTTTATGACAACAGTCTGTTTGACTCGTGCAACTTCTATCTCGAAATCCTCCAACTAGTAGGAGCACCAAGACTTCACCAAATACAGTATGTTTGTATGGTGGAGAGAAATTCGTGATCACTGGCAGACAGTGGGTGTGATTTTTTTGTTCTCAGAGGAGGTGATAAGAATGGCTAACGTGTTAATTTAATCAGAAACTCACCATTGAGATAAACGCTAGACATTAAGCCCTCCTTTCTCAGAAGATGTGTAAATCTTCTCACCACCAGGTGGCAATGCATGTATTTGCAGTGAATCACTTGTATAACTTGCTAGAATTAACTTTGCCTTCTCAATTAATTTCTGCTCAAACTGTGATACTCGACAATTCAAATACTTGACTGTAGATGGCAAGTACATACTTAGCAACTTGGTCTTCAGTCTCCAGTCTGGGCAGGTTATCTTTTCTTTTTGCCGCTGGTGAAATGCTGGAAACATTCATTATTTTTAATGTCAATGTTAGCTCTGCAACTGTTTAAGGGATCACGGCAGAATGTGTCACTGTGCCGTCACAGAACTCAACTGCATTGTTAATTCAAAATAATTTATGTCTGTTTCATTTAACAAAAACTAGGCTCACAGCACAATGGGTTCCTCGCATCTTTGCATGGAGTTTCCTATTTGAACACAATTGACAAACTGGGCACAAGCTGCTTGCAAACATTTCATTCTTGATGCCAGTAAACAAAAACAAAAGCTGTGCTTTAGAACATGATTGTTTCTCGCTATGTTAAAATATTCTTTGAAGCATTTAAGAGCAGCAATCTGGTCCAGTTTTATCAATAAAGCTGAAATATACTTTATCACATAGAATAAGCATTTTCCTCTGTGTTTCAGCCACCACCTCTAAGTAACTAATTTTAAATGACTTTAAATAAAACCGTACAGCACCATTTACTACTTAAATTAGTGTGCACAAGTCAGTTTCTTGGTAAGTTAAATATTTAATACTTTATAATATTCACTATTGACTCAGCACCTAAATTTAAAGTTACGTTGAGGGAACCTCATCTTTGGAACACACCCTCAGGCATGACCAAAGACAGAAACCATGGGCTCTGGTGCTGCTCCAGGCCTGAGCCCCTGGTCCTATCTGGTCACAGTGAATCCACCCCCAAAACCAGGGCACTGCAGGCTCCTGAAGCCTTGGGCTCAGTTATTGGGCCCTAATAAATCTCCTCCTCAAGTTTTGGGTCCAAAATGACCCTTCTTTGGAACTGATTGCCTTACTCTTCCTCCCCCTTTTTTTTATAAGCATAAAACCCATCAGTTTTTCAGCCTCTTCTTGAGTCATATTGGACTTAAAACATTAATTCTTTTCACAGTTGCAGCCAGAGCTGCTGAGTTTCCCTTGCATTTTGTTTTCACTTCAGATTTCCATCATCTGCAGTACCTTGCTTTTCTTATATAAGATTAATAAGGATCTCTGCATTATTGGAAATTTAACAGATGAAAGACAAGCACTTTGGAAACTGCTTCAGAAATCTTCCTTGCCCTCTCTTTATCTCACTCATCTAACACAGAATGCAACTTTGTCCCCTGTAATTGTGCTGCTAATTTCACAATCCTATCTTCTCATTGCTTAAGGACACTGTTTGTTGCCCCATATACTCAGATCCCAAATGCACCATTTCCCTCATTTGTCTGGCTGTCAGCTCCCACATTTAACAAGTTGTCACGCAAACGATATTAGAATGCAGATGCTCTAATTAACAGATGTTATTCAATCACTTGTAACACCAGAAAATTCCAATGTTTGATAAGTTACCTTAAGGTTGGCATCTTGTGAATCTTATTGAACATCCGATCTAATCTCTTTAAGATTAGGATAAGAGCTGGTCGCACAGCTTCTGCAGTCCAGTCAGTGATTGGAAGCATTTCCATGATGTATCTCCGAAGTCCATGACTCTCCATTGTTTGAGTGTCGTATGGTGCAAGTTTTAGAAGGGAATGTGCAATTTCAGCCAACCTAAGGTACAATAAACAATAAATTTATTCCAGAAGGGCAAAATATAATAACTACAAATTCTAAAAGGGACTAACTATTGCCATAACAGGCAAGTAAATTCATTTTTAGTTCTCAAACTTCAGGGTAATTGCACAGATCATCAAAGACATCTGCAGACGCTATCAGAACTGTGATCTATGCTGCCTCTCCTATATAATTACTGATCAAGGAGTAATCTGTCTCAGAGTGTGTACTATACTGAAGATTGTGAAATAGAAGAGATCCTGATGCTGACCAATATGCCAAAGCTGATGTTGTCAATTTCCTCTGTCATGAGTTTCACACCAGGGAGACACTAGCCAATATTTAGGGCCTTCAAGTCACATTTGCAAGCAATTATTGAAGTGGAGCTTTGGGCATCATTCTAGCCTTTTGGCTCCAGCTACTTTATTACACATGATATCCTTCTGTAGATTTCTGTCTTCCATCATTACATTGAATATCAGTGAAACTACCTTGGCGTGTATTGAGACCGTCACCAGAGTTACGATTTTGTCCTTCCGTAAAATGCTCAGGATGAACAATATGAAGAAACCCTAAGGTGACAAGTTTAGAATAAATGGTGCAAAACTAGAAATATACCTCATATGTGACTTCACATCAAGTAATTCAAGAGAGGTAACCCTTGGTTCTCCGGCCATATTCTGAAGAATTTTCAACCTGGGGCCACAGTGCTTGAAGAATTCAGTGCAAATGTTTAGGACAGACTCCCGAGGCCTGCGGAATTCCTCTCTCGCTATACGCTCATCCAATTCCTCAGTTGGCAGACTCTGGCCCTCTTCTAACAAATGAAGGTTATCTCTGCAGAAAAGTAACAATGTCCTTTTATACCAAAAGCAAAGCGAGAAATTTTGACATCATCTGTAGTTACCAACAATTTTCACCCAACCAGCTAGCAACTTTGGAGGTCAAATTCCTGCAATTTTCCATCCAATTTATAGGAAAACCACTGCAACTAGGGCGCGATACTTCAAGGTGACTTACCAACTTCTTGGGACAAGTCAGGTGGGCAATGACGTGATAGGATTTGAAACCATGCTCCCAGAGGCTGAGCCTCTGGGTTGCTAGTCCAGTGCCATGACCACTCTGTCACCATTTGCCTCGATTAAATCTAAGATTTGTGCTAGCCAAGTGTCAAGATGGGTAGGTAAGAGATTGGGCATGGATCAGCCATGATGCCTTTGAACGCAGAGCAGGGCTGAATGGCCTGCTCCAATTCAAATGTTCCTACAATCCAAACATGCTCAGAACCATTGTTCTAATGGTAGATTAAGAAATCCAAATATTCGGCTTTCTGGTGCCAGGCAGGTCAGATCAGGTGATTTATATTTCAGACAATAACAGACATCGGTTTTCACTGTAATGTAAATGGATCTGCAAGATTAGAATTCACATTTTACATCTCTAGGACTATGTTCTTCTGATTAACCTTCTGAAACAAGAAATTGTTAATTGTGATTGATCGAAAATGAAAGAGAGACAAACTGATAGAATGATTGAAATTAAAATTTGGTCCATCGTGCCTGTAAAAACGAACATGCAAGAATTATCATGATTCTTCCTGACCTTGTATTGGCTCCTCCAGACATGGCATGATTGGCTGTTGGAGCTCCTCTATGACCTTGGTCGGACCTGCTCATTTGAGGAGCTGTCATTGGTCTGCACCGCAGTCCAAGAGAAAAAAACATGCAAAGATTTTTTTAGAGATGTTCTTCTGAACAAATATCACTCGATCAAATCAAAGCAACTACAAAGATTAAAACAGAAGCTCATTTAGACAAATTGTATTACTGATGATCTTCGATCAATTCTAGATAGGTTTCATGCATTACATTGTACTGAATAAAGCACATAGCAGTCCACTAAAAGCAAAGAAACAAAATGTGCTGTTGAAATTTTAATTTAAAAATCCAACACTGTAACCAATAAATGCTAACAAAGCATTAAAAGTTAACTTGGAAGGACTGTGACATTCAATGGTATGGAGTGCAAAGGCAGCCCAAGAGCAGGATTAATAAATTACCTGGTGAGAGATTCAACACTATATAATAGGGCTTGTAACGATGTGGCGAGTGAAGCAATAGCAGTGATTTCATCCCTTGCTGCGGAGGATGATTCCAATTGAATGGTTTGCTTCTTTAGTTTCTGCAAGTAGCAGGGAACCAGTGCCTCTAGCACCATCAGCATTTGAAGACTATGGCATAAATAAGAAGCATTAATGTGCGGCAATAGTAAAGAAAATTCAATTCTACTGTGGCTAACCATTTAAGTAAAAAAAAAAGGTTGCACAAATATAAAGGGGCTAAACATTTAATCATAGTTATTGTGCAAAGTCAGGATTGCCGCTCTGGGCCACCTTAGGTGGTGAAGCCACAACTGGAGTATTGTGTGCCTTCTGGTCACCACATTGCAGGAGGGACACAATTGTTCTGGAGAGAGTGCAGAGAAGATTTACTTGCAAGTTGCCAGGGCTGGAGAACTGTAACTACATGGTGAGATTGGAGAGGTCGGGGTTGTTTTCCTGAGAACAGAGAAGGCTGAGCGGTGACATGATTGAGTTTTACAAACTTGTGAGGTGTAGAGATAGAGCAGGAACTTGTTTCCCTGAGTAGAGACTTCGAAAACCAGGGGTCATAGATTCAAGCTGAGTGCCAGAAGGATTAGAAGGTGCATGAGAGAAAGGCTTCTTTACGCAGAGGGTGGTGGGTGTCTGGAATTCACTGGTGGTGGACACAGAAACCCTAAACTCTTAAAAAACACCTGAACCTGCACCTTAAGTAAGGTGTAGGCTCTAAAATGCAGGATTATGGACCGTGTGCAGGAAGATAGGATTAGAAAGGGCACCTGGGTATCTTTGGACAAGATGGGCAAAATGACCCCCTTCTGTGCTGTATCATTTTTAATGGTTTCTTTGGTTCCTAGGTCTATGTCCACAAATGAGTTAAACTTGCCTTATTAGACAAAATTAGATTAAATTAAATTTTCACTCAAAACTTATTGATAAAATGGGGAATAGGAAAAATGTGGCAAAATTTTACATCTATGAACATGAAATAGTACCTTTTAGTAATTAAAACAGAAATAATGACTATACTTTAAAGGCTGTGTGATGTGAATGATTGACTTCAGATCCACATGACAGGGAGAAAAAAAAACCTTATATAGGTAAGATATTTAAACAGATTAACAGATTTAAGATTTAAACGGATTTAAGAACAGCTTCTTCCCCGCTGTTATCAGACTTCTCATATAATAGAGTTGGTTTTTCTCTGCACAATCTATGTAGCACTGTATTTTGCATTCTGTTCTATTACCCTGATGTACTTAGGCAAGAAATGATTTGTCTGATTAACATGCAAAACATTACTTTTCACTATATCTCAGTACATTTGACAATAATAAATCAGATATTAGAAAGAGTAACAAGAGTTAATTATTACTTGGAGTAACAAGAACTACAGAATATAAAATTCAAAATGCAACAGTGAATCTATTAATTCTACTAATCTTCAATAAGTTGTGAGACAATAGAGAATATAAAGCATAGATTAACACCAATAATTCTTGCTGAGAGAAAGTAGAGAAAGACTAAAAATTCAGCTCACTTCCTTTAAAAGGACATCATGGTGACTGACAGAGCAAGGACGGGATAGGATATATAGAAGCTGACTGTTTCCAATCATTAATTCATCTGTTGTATACACTTTTATGCATTTTATACAGAAAGTAAATGTACAGAAGAGAGAAAAAAAATAAAAGAAGCCCATCAGTCAGGTTTTAAACCTATTGTCTGGACAACAGAGATGGGTAGTTTTTACAATGGGTGGCTGAACTGCTATGCTAGTTAAATACTAAATCGAAAATCTATTAGAACCCTTTCATAACCTGACTGAAAGGGAAAGGGAGAACAGTATATTCCTTAACAGACATAAAATTAGAGTGCAAAATTGGCAACTGTCATAAAAAAAGGAAAAGGAGACAAATACAGACTGGTACCAAGCCATCCAGAAGTGATTACCACCGGACTCATACCGAATGTTAAGGACAAAAATATACGCATTGAGCATGTTATTACATTTAATTCCCATGCCCCCTACTGATAAACAGCTGCTGTTTGCTGGAATTAGCAATAGTAAATTGAGCAGGCGCAAAAGTGAATGGGGATCCAATGCTAGCAATGTTACTTCTGCAAACTCCCACATTAGTGCCTCAAAACCAGGCGTCATTTGGCAAACGTTTTCAGCAATATAACTGGCCGCTTTTTGGCTGCCTCCCTATGTTCGCACGTGTTGCTCATCACTTCAAGTTCTGATCAACCAATTCTTGAAATACTTGGAAAGTCCTTTGTGATCCATTTGAACAACATATGCTGCCCAGAAGATTGATGTTTTTAATAGCATTTCCTCAATTCTCTTTGATTTAACATAATTTAATACCTTGCATTTAATAAGACAACACTTGTGAGAAGTATGAAATGGTAAAATTGACACGAACCTCATCAGTCCCTTTGTCAGCGTGACAATGGTATGGTCTTTCAGATGAAATTTCTGTCGTTATTATCAAAATTACATGTTTGCCAGGGTGAAGTTCATTATAGCATTCAACTTAATACTGTTGAATGCCAGGGATTATTTAAGACAAGGGTCAAAATATTACTGCAGTAGACATAGCCATCTTATATCTTATTCCAGTTATTAAGATGCACATATATATATATATATATATGTTTAGATTTTAAGATGTTTGGCAAGTAAAGTGCTGAAAGTGGAAGCTAAAAGTAACACAGCAACTATGGCAGGGTATTTGGGTCTTTGGTGAGCAATGAGACAAACAGTGAATCTCAGTGAAATAAACAGAGCTAAGCTGGAAAACCTAGGACATTTCCGTCAGAGTGAAATTGGTGAAAATCACAAACTTGGAAGTCCCACCCCAGAATTAATCATTTCCTATTTTTGTGCGGTTGAGTTTGGGGAAAGCCCAGCTTTTATCCTTGTGGAGATAGCTGACCATTTCAATAATCAGCTGCCTCCATTTAAATTCTGTTTTGGTATTCACACTGTCCAGAACCCGAGAGACCAAGTCTGAACATCTATTATAGAGCGAATTTATTTTGGATAGTGTGGGCACCCCTTTGGAAAGCTAAGGTACTTTTGGGGAAAATGGTCCTGGAACACCTTGGCGAGAGAATGGTAAAGGGTCCAGTAGGTTTTGGCATTGTTAAAAGTATACATCAATTTGTCTAAAAAATACATGAACTCATTGAAACTGTTAAAGTTGTCAAGAACATAGAATATAAAATTTTGTTTTCATTAGAGAGTAATTGAAGTGATTTCAATGCATTGAATTATTTTACATCAATGAATGGATTATTTAAATACTGACATCATCAGTAAACAAATACATTTATTTTATATCTGCATGGCCCCTGACACTTGTGCTTGGTGGATGTTAGGCGAGTTGGGATGGAAGCTTGAGGGAAGAGAGTGGTTGGGGGAAGAGTATGGGTTGCCATTAGTTGGTAAGATGGGAGATTGTTAGAGGGGCATAGGGCTTCTAAGGGACAAATTGGTTTCTGGATAGAGGTCACAGTGTGGACAAGATGGTAGGAAGGACCATGGAGAGTGTGTTGAGGGGTATGGGGGTATGAGGGGCATAGGGAGAAGTAAACGGGCATAGGGTGGCTTAGGGGTTATGAGGTGGCTTTGATCACCATGGATAGGCATGAAGTATGTGTGAGAGGTGAGGAGACATCAGGAGTCTGGGCTGGAGTGATGCCTTTGGTTCTATTCAGCTTACTGCAACATATACTGGTACACGGGTCAGGCCTTACACCCAGCTCCTTTCTGGAGCCAGCAGCCTCTGTTGCTGTTCCAGGATCATCCAGCCTACCTCCTGTGGAATCCCATCACCCCGGAATGAAAATGAGACCTTTTCAAGCCAGCTTTTCCCATGCTGAGTTCACATGGCTGGGGAATGTCCCATCTCTAAGCTCTCAACCTGGCAATGAAAATCGTGGCAGAAGGAAGAGGCTGGATTAGGGTGGGTGAATTGAACATTAAACATCATTAGTACAGAAGGAGAAATTATCCAACCTCACTTTCTGTTTAGTGAGAAAGAAAAATGGAACAGGAGGGAGAACGGCATTTTTAAAAATCTCCCAGAAAAAGTTCACAACCTTAAGGAATGAAAGTCTTGTAATTGCTCACTTCCTGGGTAAGAGTGTTTAATTGGCAATGCAAAGGAAGTTAATTACTAGATTCAGATTTCTGCCGTATATGTCAAAGGTCATTAATGTGCAGATGCAGCAACTTTAGAACAGTCGCAGGGATGTGAAGTGAGAGTCACTATTGTATTTAGTGCATGATGGAGCAATGCAAATTGGCCAATTCATAATTCATGGAGTGTCACGTCCTCACCATAATTGCAGGCTGCTTTACGTATGAATAATGCTATGCATTGCTCAGATATCATGATCTTTCCTGCATAATCCAGGCCACTGTTTACTGAACACTTGTTGATCTATTTTTGCTTTATTTCACTAAATAGTAAGCTCACAATTTATTACCTACTGCTACACATCTGTGTAATTTCCCTTTTTTCTCAGCAACAAATGTATAACTTATTTCAGTGTTATATGCTTCATTTTCAATTTCATATCCCATCACTTTTTAGGACTAGCTGTGCATTTTGGTCAATATAATTCAGCACCAAACCCAAGCACATAATGAGGATATTTATGGATGAAATATTATTATTTTCCACATTGTCTTAAATAATATTCTGGTACCTTCTAAGTGATTCCGGTGCATATGCAACTACAGTAACACAAAGTTTAATAGCTTCACTAATAGAGAAGGCAAGATCTTCATTTCCATAGCAGAAATCTAGAAGAACATGAAAAAATATATTGTTTACTATAGAGTTTGTGACACTGGTGTTCATTTTACATGACTTAATGTGTCATTAAAATAAGAGGGAAACTTATAATTTAACTTGTTCTGTTAGGCCAAATTTCAATTGACTAGAGATTTGAAAATGATAAAAATGACAGAACTCCTGTTTTATTCCAGAACAATCACCGCTAACAGAAAGTAAAATGACTCGTCCATATAAATGTCAGAGTAGGTCAGAGGCTGGGAATTTTGTGGTGACTAACTCGCCTCCTAACTCCTCAGGTCCTGTCCACCATCTACATGGTGCATGTCGGAGGTCTGATGGAATACTCCCCACTTGCCTGGATGTGTGCAGCTCCAATGACATTCAAGAATCTCAACACCATCCAGGACAAAGCAGTACATTTGATTAGCACTTCATCTACCACCTCCCACCAGCAATACACAGTGGCAGCAGCGTGTACCATTTACATGATGCACTCCATCTGCTTACCAAGAATCCTTCAACTGCATTTTTGAATCACCTGACCTGTATTTACAAGAACAAGGTAGCAGACATATAGGATGGCCACATTGTGAAGGATGCAAAGGGTAATTTGTGATTTTGTGTTTTCTTGTGACTTGAAAGCTATTAACAGTTTCCTAATTCCTCCACCTCTGCCGCGTCTGCTCCCAAGATGGGGTGTTCCACTCCCAAACATCCCAGATGTCCTATTATTTCAAGGACCACAACTTCCCCCCTTCAGTGGTCAAAAACGCTCTCAACTGCATCTCTTGCGTTTCCCGTGCCTCTGCCCTCACATCCCTTCCCCCCAACAAAAATAAAGACAAAATTCCTCTTGTCCTCACATATCACCCCACTAACCTCCACATCCAACATATCATTCACCCCACTTCCGCCACCTACAATCCGACCCCACCCTTATCTGTCTTTTGTAGGGTCCGCTTTTTCCGCGACTTTCTTGTCTTCTCCACACTCCCCACTAGCCCCACCGCCCCCGGCACCTTTCCCTGCAAACGCAGGAAGTGCGACACCTGTCCCTACACCTCCCCCTTACCTCCATCCAAGAAACCAACCAAACCTTTCACATCAGACAGAGGTTCACCTGCACCCTGTCAATGTGGTCTGTTGCATCCGCTGCTCCTGATGTGGCCTCCTCTACATCGGTGAGAGCAAGCGGAGGCTCAGAGACTGCTTTGTAGAGTGCCTACGCTCTGTTCGTGACAAACAACACCTTCCGGTCACGAACCATTTCAAATCCCCCTCCCCCTCCCTGGGTGACATGTCCATCCTGGGCCTCCTCCAGTGTCACAATGACACCACCCACAAACTGGAGGAACAGCATCTCATATTCCGCCTTGAGACCCTACAACCCAATGGTCTCAATGTGGACTTTACAAGCTTCAAAATCTTCCCACCCCCGGCCTCATCCCATGACCAACCCTCCCTCTCATCCCCGCCTCTTGACCTGACATAACCTGTCCATCTTCTCTCCCATCTATCCACTCCTCCCACCTCACTCTCCAATCCCCACCACTGCCTACCTGCACTCACCTATCACCATCCCACCTACCTTCCACAACCCCACCCCTCCTCTCTCTATTTATTTCTCTATTTATTTCCCTTTCCCCTCACCATTGCTGAAGCAGGGTCCCGATCCGAAACGTCAACTTTCCTGCTCCTCTGATGCTGCCTGGCCTGCTGTGTTCCTCTAGCTCCACACTGTTATCTCTGACTCCAGCATTGGCAGTTCTTACTTTCTCTTAGTACTTTGTCCCATGCTTTTAGTAATTTACGTTAATACTTTAGACTCTAATGTAGGGCACATGATAAAGAAATTTGCAGATGATATGAAAATTGGCTGTGTGGTTGACAGTCAGAAAGAAATCTTTAGATATAGACAGTCTGTGCAGGGATAGCATTTCTGAGGGTGCAGCAGACAAAGGATAAAAAAGACAATAAATAGGAGGACGCTGAGTACTGTAGAATAATATAGGGACCTTGGAATATATGTCCACACAAAAGTAGCAGGACAGTTCAATAAGGTGGGTGAGAAAGTATATGTAGTGTTTTATTTTATAATCTGAAACATTGTCTCAATAGCTGTATCATAAAAGGCCACCAATATACACTACAAACCCACAGACTCCAATAGTTAGCTCAACTACACATGCTCACACCCTGCTTCCTGTAAGGGCTCCATTCCATTCTCCCAGTTTCTCCATCTCCATCTCATCTGTTCTCTCAATGACACATTCTGCAGGAGTCCTCAGAAATGTCCACCTTTCTCCTCAACAGAGGATTCCCTGCTGCCATAGTCGATGGGGTGTTCAACCTATCTCCCGTACCTCGACCCTCACCCCTTTCCTTCCCTCCCACAACCTCTGGGAGATTGGGTCCCTCTGGTCCTCACTTATCTTCCCACTAGCTTCCTCAATCAAAGGATTATAAGGTGCCATTTCCATTACCTTCAATGGGATGCCATGATGTGACATATAGATTCCCCTCTCTTCTCTTGTCAGCATTCCTCAGGGACCAATCTATCCAGGCCATTCTAGTCCACCATTCCTCCACTACTAACATCTCCTCACACCCTCACAGCACCTTCCCATGCAATTGCAGAAGGTGTAACACCTGTCTGTTTACCTCTTCCCTCCACATTATCCAAGGCTCCAATCATATGTTCCAGATGAAGCATCGTTTTGCCAGCAACATCTGTTTGTGCTTCATGAATGCATTAAGAATTATATATGACATTAGTTAGACCACAATCTGAGTACAATTCTGGTCACCAATTACAGAAGAGATGTGATTGTAATGAAAAGGGTGTGGAGGAGATTTGTGAGTGAGTTGCCAGAACTGCAAAACTTTACCTATGAGAACAGATTGGATATGCTGTCACTGTTTTCTTTGGAATAGAAGATGCTGAGGGGAAATTTCATTGAGGTGAATATAGTTAGGAGTCATCAAGATACAGTAAAGAAGGATGACCTATTTGGCTTAGCTAAGAGAGTGAAAAGCAGGGGCACAGATTTATATTATTTAGCATGAGGATTAGAATCATAGATACCCTTCAGTGCAGAAGCAGGCCATTTGGCCAATTGAAACCACACCATACCTTCTGAAGAGCATATAACCCATCCCTGCCCTATCCCTTTAACATTTTTTATAGCATCCCTCCAGTGTGGAAACAGGCCATTCACCCCAACAAGTCCACATTGACTCTCCAAACAGCATCGCACCCAAACTCACTCCCCCTATCCTTGTAACCCTACATTTCCCATTCTCACCTATCTAACCTACACATCCCTGGACACTACAGGCAATTTAGCATGGCCAATCTACCTAACTGCACATTTCTGGACTTTGGGAGGAAACTGGATCACCCGGAGGAAACCCACGCAGACATGGGGAGAATGTGCAAGTCGCCTGAGGGTGTAATTGAACGTGTGTTCCTGGCGTGGTGAGGCAGCAGTGCTAACCACTGAGCCACCATGCCACACCAGGGGAGGGAGATGTGGAAATTTTCTTTTTCAACCCAGAGAGTGACAGGGACTTGAAACGCTCTGTCTGAAAGAGGCAAAAACTCTTACTGTATTTACAAAGTAATTGTATGTTGACTTGAAGACCTGGGGCCACTGTGGATCCTGTGCAGGAAAGTAAAATTAAGCGTGGTCACTGTTCATCACCCAGCTTGTGCACAATAGGATCTATGAACTCCTTCTGTGTCAAAAATCTTCTATGATTTCAATCGCCACAACCTGCATGTGCCCTTCCAAGTCACATATCATCCAGACTCTGAACTCCATGCTCACTCAGTCAAATTCCCCTAAAATTTATCCCTAACATCTTTGTGGGTTTACCTACACCAGGTAGACTGCAGCGGTTCAAGAAGGCGACTCACCACCATCATAACAAGTATAATCAATGGCAAAGGCATAAACAACAGACTTGATAGCAATGCACAGATCCACAAACGAATTGAAAACATGTCCTAACGACACACTTTCCCCAGAGATCATATATTTCTGAGCTGTATTTGCACCCCTCTCATGAAAACTTTAGTAAGTCAACTATAGGATGACATTGGATATTAGCTGACAGGTGCAATCATATGTCGAGCATTCTTTTGCAAAAGGTGGCTGAAACTTGTACCTCTGACAGGGTTCCAATACTATTCAAAATGTGCACAATGTGTATCCATCCTGCAGCAGTTGGGAGGTTTATGGTAATATGTTGAAATCATTTTATAGACTATTTTGCTGTCAGATGATTGTGGGATACATTAGGAGCAGCAGATTAGTTACTTCCTGAACCCTGATCTTGCTGATTCTCTGTGTCAATTTACAGAGGCTCAACTGCTCTAGCACTTCAGTACACCAGCTGATTCTTAGTTGATAAATATTGTTAACTAACCTGTTCAAAGATATTGTGACACACCTCTGGAGCAGGTGGGACTTGAACCAGGCCTTCCTGGCCCAGAGGTAGGGACACTAGAAGCTCCAATTCACACCATAAGTAGCAAGATGTCGCTGGTCCGAATTAAAGCACAGGCAATGTTACTCAAAGAGAGAGTTTCTGACTGTATCTTGCTCATGAGAATTTATATCTGTACTGGTAAGTCAATCACCCTTTTTGAAGGTGGGTAAGTCAATCCATCCTCCATTTTTGAGATTGCAATGACTCCAAATGGTGTACTTGACAATAGATGGCTGGAACCATCTGAATTAGTCTGCTGAGGTCGAATATTAACTCAATGGTCATGGTGGAGAATTTAATGAATTCAACCCGACAATCTCCTGATCTTTGGACGTCAAAACAACGCAGGGCACAGTACAGCTTTCATGATGCTTTTTGTTTGGTCATCAGTGCAGACTCGATAGGCCAAAAGGCCTCTTCTGTACTGTATGACTATGAATAAAATTAAGAGCTATACCGGTCTGGAACACTTCATATCATTATTAACCACTTGCAAGTTTTCTTCCATCATCCTGACTTGGAACTACATCACCATTCCTTCACCGTCATTGGCTTAAAAACCTGGAATCCTTTCTCTAATAGCACTATGGATGTCCCTACACTCCAAACACCACAGCACTTCAAGGGGGTAGTTCTTCAGCACCTTTTCCAGGAGAGTTAGGGATGGGCAACAATTATTGGTTTAACCAGCAATGCACACATCCCACAAATGACTAACAAAATAAAACAGCCTGACCAATTTATTGGACCTTGCTGTGGGGAAGGGGTGGGAAAATTTTCCTGGGATTTTTTTTTCCAACTCCATATACTTCTTCATTCCAATAGATTAACAGGCTTGCACAGGGAGAGGGAGTGGATAAATAGAAACTTCACCAGGGTTGATTCCTCATTTAATAACAGCGACGAAAATGAGAGTCACCATAGTCCCAGAGGACCATAGGCTTGTCTCTCGGTGAGAGAGAGAAAGAACTGGTGTGGAGTTTAACCTGAGAGTCCCCATGCCTGAGGCATGACTCTCATTTCATTGAGGCCTCAGCCAATATTGGAATTGAATCTGTGCTATTGGCATCACACTGTCTCGCAAATCAGCCAAATAGCCAACTGAGATAACTGACTGCATCAGGCTTACAGCTGACAAGAAAAAAATATTTAAGAGGCATCTAAAGTTCTGCCAAGAAATAATTAAATTTTAATGAACAGCTACAGTTATTTTTGTTTTTTTTCAAACAAAGCTTTAGAATGTACTTGTCTACTTGGTTTAAAAGATTAAAATGACAAAAAATCTCACCCTCCTTTCTACACAGTAAATGATACATGGAGCAGAGTACTCAATCTATCAGTCACGGAAAGCATCATCATTATTTAATTGTTTCAAACAATTATTTTTACCTTTCTTTTTCTAAAGGTTTTAAATAAATCAGTTAATTTACTGATTGAATAATGGAAAAAATATATATCTTGCTATAAATTACATTGGTGATTCTTTCAGAGTTGTGTATGAAAAAATCATTTGGTAAATAAAGTGCCAGATTTGAGGCATCAACAGTCAAACACTAACAATCTGAAGTATATACCTGTACAGAAATCACTTTTCAGGATGTCAAGCAGGAAGAGCCTGACTGCAATTAAATCTTTACTTTTGGAGTTAAAATGCAGTAGGCACAGTTTTAGCAGCTAATGAGAAGTTAAGGGACAGTGAAGCAAGAATGTTGTGATACACAGTGAAAGGAAAATCTGAGAATAAATGCTGCCAATAAGTAAAATCAATCAAAGAAATTTAATCCAAGAGTTTATTATACTCTAATAATATGAATATATTATTACCTTTCATGATATCACAATTACATTTTAATGGTAAAGAAAAAAAAGTACTTGGATCACGTGATTTTTGGTTTTGGCTGTATGCTTCCCCTTTCGGAAAAATGAATTGCAATGTATTAAATTCTTATAAACACCACAGTTTATTAAATGTGATTTTTAAAAAATTCTCAGAACTAATATGTAATGTCACTGTGCACTGCCATGTATTTCCACTGCATACATTATTATTGCAATCTTTGGCAAACACTAAATTTCAGTAAGATTACCGAGAGATTTGAGAGGTTTCTCAGCTTTCACTAATTCCAGCACGTCCAACGCATCTTGTGTATCACCCTCCAAAGACACCAAAAGGTCAAACAGACATTGAGAAGACACACCTTTAGCTGATCCACTTGTCGTAACATCCTAAATACAAAAACCAAATACAAGTTTTCTTTGATGCAATTTTTGCTTTCATTGCAGACTTTATTCTTTCTGTGGTAAGTATTGTTCAATTTAAATCCTTACATGAAGGCTGTCTCAATTGTTTGCCTAGTTAAGATGGTGATAAGTTGAGCCTATAGTACTGAAAGGTGATAGGTCCAATAGTATGTATCTGATCTCAGCCAGAGTAACTAAGACATATCTCTGCATCCTTGTGTAAGGGGGAGGAGAAAATCGGCCAAGTCTCTCTCTGATCACTTTTTTTTTTCCAATCAATCTGTTCAGAGATGTTCTTACACACTTCTAGTGCAAGTGGGACTTGAACTCAGGCCTCCCGGTTCAGGGGTATGGCACTTCCATTGTGCCACAAGATTGCTTTTTTTTACTAACCTATTTTTCTAAACAACCTGATGAGAGGTGTTATTAAAAAACCTCTGGAGCAGTTGGGACTTGAACCCAGGCCTCTTGGCTCAAAGTTAGGGATACTTCCTCTGCACCACAGCAAGCTTTGAAGGGCCTGGCGACCAACTCTTATTCCTTGCTCTGATCCAAAAACTTTGCCAAGCCAGAACTGTACAATACTTAAAAACAGATTTGAATAAATATCCGGGGCCAACAGGAGAGGGATGGAACAATCTTATTTACTTACTGAGAACTCCAGTAGTGGTGCTGCACTTGCAAATAATTGAAGAATAAAAGGCTTTCGATGCAAAACATAAAACTGTCGGCAAGAAAACTCAATTGCTTGGCGTAGCAATGGATTGCTTTCATAATCAGCATAGACCTGCAAGAGGGAGTATTTTGAAACAATGTACTAGCAAAAAGCACACTTTATTTAGCCTTTGATGAATACACATAGGTGTTGTAAATTTGAACAGCGTGATAAGATTCCATTTGCATGCATGATTTTCGCATGTGAAGTTATATTCTTTACATTGTTACAGAAAGGAGAGGGATGCACTTACAGAGTGCCTTTTATGACCTGAAAGTGCCCCAAAGAATGTTAAGCTATGACACTCTTTAAATTTGTAGTCAGTCTTGCAGGAAGGGAAAGCAGCAGTCAATTTGCAAACTGCAACTTTCCACAACAGCAATGAAACAATGACAATGTAATACAGTCATAGAGAGATGTAATGCACAGAAACAGATCCATATCCCTCTAAACCCTTCCTATTCATATACCCATCCAGATGGCTTTTAAATGTTATAATTGTATCAGCCTCCATCACTTCCTCTGGCAGCTCATTCTGTACATGCACCACCCTCTGCGTGAAAAAGTTGCCCCTTCGGTCCTTTTTAAATCTTTCCCCTCTCACCTTAAACTTATGTCTTGGAGCTTTGGATTCCCCTACCCTGGTGAAAAGGCATTAGTTTTCTTTTATAATCTTTTTAAATTGTTATTGAGTGAGGGATAAATATTGACAACAGTACTGGAATTATTCGCCTGCTGTGCTCGGGGAGCAATGCAGTCTTTTATATCCGTTCACCCGAATTGAATGCCGACTTAATTATTTTTTGCCTAATACTGCTATTTGCAGCACACAATTACTTGTGTGGTTTGTCTTGTGAGCTTGCAAAGAGAATTAACGAGTGTACAGCTGCATCACTTACAACAGTATCGAAATAGGGGATGGTTTGGAAACAAAATGAAGGATGCTCGAGAAATTTATGCATTAACTTCACATGAAAATACAAAAAGTGTCTCGGTTTAATATGACATCTGAATGAGAATATCTCCAAAAGTGGCACTACTTTTTTGGTACAGCATTGGATTAATGATATAAATCCTTGTGCTCAAAACTTGAGTTGGATTTGAACTCATGAGTGTATAGTGAGTGCTTCCAACTGAGCCATTGTTGTCCCAAAGTACCAAAGTTATTGTTTTTGTAAGAAATGACCATGTCATTGATTATTAGTATCTTATGTATCTCATGCATGGTACAAAATTTGAAACCAAAGAACAGGAAGAAAACATTCTACTATTTAGTCTTAAGAACAAGCTCATATGTTTTTGTTTCTGAACACACTGTGTTTATTGTGTCAATCAAAGTGAAGTGAATACAGCTGAAAGGCATTGAAGTGCTAATGCCACTTCAGCCCAAGCCTGGATACTGGCCGTATCTTGCTGCATGCAGGTATAGGACAGCTTCATTATCTCAGGAATTGCAAATGGCACTAAATATCGTCATCATCAGCAATCTTATGAAGAAGATAAGGATGTTGTTGTTTAAACAGCTGAAGCAGACTGGACCTAGGTCTACAGATAACAATGAAGAACATGAAGACAGAAGGAATAGTTTGGGACAACGCTTTATTTGCTTAGAGATAGTAGGAACTGCAGATGCTGGAAAATCTGAGATAACAAGGTGTAGAGCTGGATGAACACAGCAGGCCAAGCAGCATCATAGGAGCAGGAAGGCTGACGTTTCGGGCCTAGACCCTTCATCAGAAATGGGGGAGGGGAAGGGGGTTCTGAAATAAATAGGGAGAGAGGGGGAGGCGGATAGAAGATGGATAGAGAAGATAGGTGGAGAGGTAACAGACAGGTCAAAGAGGCGGGGATTGAACCAGTAAAGGGGAGTGTAGGTGG